CCCCAGTCCTCCACTCCGCAAACCCCGAAGTGGTTGCTCCAGACTATGGGGCAATGAAGATTCGAGCTATGGGGTTGCTCCACCTGAGAGAAAATACTTAGTGATGACCGGAGCCTCGACCTGTTCACATTTTCCTTCCCTCCTCATCCTCGAGAAACCCATTTCTCGACCATCACCCATTTCCGTCGCTTGACATTCCATTCAGCTTTTGTGTCGCTGCTATGGGTATCCTCACCGTTGTTGAAGAGCGGCCAACGCCGCCGTCGGTTTACAACTGGCGCATCTATGTGCTCGCCATCATCGCGTCCTGTGGATCTTGCATGATCGGATACACCAGCGCATTTATCGGAACAACGGTAGCTCTCGACTCTTTCAAGGACGAGTTCGGACTCAACGACATCTCCAGCGCGGCAAGAAACCTTATCAGCGAGAACATCGTTTCTCTGTTTGTTGCAGGTGCTTTCTTTGGAGCCCTCCTCACATACTGTCTCAGCTACTTTATCGGTCGCAAGTGGTGCTTAGCGATTGGCGCCACCACGTTTTCGCTCGGTGCTGGACTTACCTGCGGTGCTACTGGTAACACTGGCTTGGGAATCTTGTACGCTGGACGCGTTTTTTCTGGACTTGGAACTGGCGTCGCGTCGGTGAGTCCGCCTCAGATACCGCTCAGTATGAATGTCCAGTCGTTGACGATAAACTTCGCAGAACATCATCCCTATTTACATCTCCGAACTGTCGCCTCCTGCTATCCGCGGTCGTCTCGTTGGTCTTTACGAACTTGGGTGGCAGATTGGTGGTCTTGTAGGGTTTTGGATCAACGTAAGTAACGAACGAAAACTTCATATGGGAAAATGCCCCCCTAACACATGGCGTAGTTCGGTGTCGAAGCCCACGTCCCCCCTGGCCGAACTCAATGGATCATACCCTTCGCCGTTCAACTTATTCCATCCGGTCTGCTGTTGATTGGCTCTTGCTGGATTCGAGAGTCCCCGAGATGGCTCTTTCTCAAGGACTATCGCAAGCAGGCGATGGACAACCTCTGCTGGATTCGCCAATTGGAACCGAACGACATCTACATCCAGGAGGAGATTGCTGCTATTGACAAGATCTATGAGCTTCAGAAGTCCACTGTGGGACTTGGCTTCTGGCAGCCATTCCAGGCACTTGGTCAACGCCCTAACCTTCAGTGGAGACTGTTTTTGGGTTGTATGCTCTTCTTCTGGCAGAACGGATCCGGAATCAATGCGATCAACTACTATTCTCCCACCATCTTCTCAGTAAGTCTTGTCTCTTGGCCATTTCCTGGGAGGTTGCGTTGTTGCTGACTGTCGTTCGCCAGAGCATTGGCATTGATTCGAATACTGTGAACTTGATGACGGGCATTTTCGGTGTCATCAAGGCTGTCATGACCTTCGTCTGGCTGTTGTTCCTGGTTGATCAGCTTGGAAGACGTAAGCTTCTACTGATTGGTGCCATCACCGGCTCCATCTGCATGTGGGTCATTGGCGCGTATGTCTGCGTCGTCGAGCCGACGAAGAACCCTCAGGATCACTTGACCGGTAGTGGCTATGCTGCTATCATCTTCTTTTACCTCTGGACTGCAGTCTATACCCCGACATGGAACGGCACCCCTTGGGTCATCAATTCCGTGAGTCAACCCTTCCAGAGTCTCTCAACCATTGGCTAACATTCTATACAGGAATTCTTCGACCCCAACTTTCGTTCTTTGGCAGGCGGCGCCACCACGGCAAGCAATTGGCTGTTCAACTTTCTCGTATCGAGGTTCACGGAGCAGATGTTTGCGGCTATGGGCTATGGCGTGTACTTCTTCTTCGCCTCGCTCTCCTTCTTGGCATTTTTCTTCGCCTTTTTCCTCATTCCAGAGACCAGTGGCGTTCCGCTTGAGAAGGTTGACCGCCTCTTCGAGATCAAGCCTGTATGGAAGGCGAACGAGACGTTGATGGCTCAGTTGAGAGAAGAGGAGGTGCAGTTCCGCACAGACGCCAAGGGCGAGGCTACGCACAAGGAGGTTGCTAACGGCAACAAGTCTGAGTCTGACTCAGCTTAGGTCCTGATGAACACGCACAGTAAATAGAAGCCAATGATTTTGGAAACGCGGAATTCAAAACGAAGTAATAATCGGTATTCGAACGGAACGAACACATACATTACCTTGAATTCAGTGTACGTTAATGGCACCTGAGGCTTTTCGAAAGTCTTGGCATAAGATTTGCATTTCGTCACCTATCCTAGTGACTTCCCACTTTTTGCATCACATCCTTTGCTCAAACCCGTCCTAGGTTGATTGAATCCTGTGAAAATTATCCACCATTGGCCAGGCTGATTGAAATCCCGCTGGAGCATACATAATCTGCATACGTTGATGTTTTGATTGGCTTGTGGTGCTTGGGTGGCGATGCCGTCAGTCCAATCTGGTCACTTCATCTTAATGCAGCATACTCAAATGCAATTCATTTAGCACCTGCTTTCAGAAGCATCAGACTCTGGGAAACTCCTCACGGAGGAACTTAGGACGCAATTGCTTTCTCATCTCGTTTGCCATGTTCAACTACCCAGCAAACTTTGGCGTTGCGTGTGAACTGTAACTTGCTGGACGACTATCGCGTGATGGAGGTAACACCGCCGGCAGGCGTAATCTTTGAATAGGCGTTCCGACAGGCTGCATGCAACTTCGCATGTTTGATTCAACGCCAACAGAATGGCTCTCTACCGAATTGGCTCCATCAAAACCATGAGAGGCAGCTTCTCCCAGAGAATGTACGTCTTCTGCTTCGTCCAATTCGTGCTTTCGGCACAAAGAGATAGATTAAAATGCCACAATGTCCTCGCCAAGATGTACCGCATTTCATGCCAAGCCAAACTATTATGTATTAATACTTTGATTGAGCAGCGGGACTTGTACATAGCTGTCAACTGAAAGGGGCTTACTTCATTCCGATGCAGTTCCGGGGCCCAAGAGAAAAGGGCTGCACGACATCTTTGGTGTTTGGCTCAAACTCTGGTCCAGGCAGCCATCTCTCTGGAACGAAAGCCCCAGGGTCTTTGAAATTACGCGAGGAGTGATTGGCGGCAAATTGAGGCACAGACACACGAGTCTGGAAGTTTTAATTAGCGTGATAAACACGGAAGCAAGGTTGTGTTCTGCTCACCCCGGCCGGGACCCAATGTCCAGCAACGGTGCCACCGACTTCGGGAACCTCCCGCCAAACCCCGACTGGTACAGGAGGATACCACCTGAGTGCCTCATTAAGTACGGCTGTCAGATAGGTCATTTTGGAAAGCCTCTGAATCGTCAACTCTTCCTCCGACTCAACCTGCCGAATCTCTGTAACTAGACGAGCAAGTTTGTTTGGATTCTTGAGAAGTAAATATGTGACGCCGCTTAGGATGGTTGCTGTAGTCTCGGATCCCGCCACCATGAACAAAGACGAGTTTGTATACATGTCGCCTTTGGTGATCTGTCTGCTGCCAGGTTGGCTCAGAACCAAGTTCCAAATGTCTGCATCCTCCTTTGTTGTTTTGATGCGGCGATCCACACGTTCAATGGCGTGTGCGAAGTGCAGCTCCGAGGCTTTCTTGAGGTGGTGAGGTGTAATCATTTGCACCAAATTACCGAGCCATGGCCATTCACGGCCAATCTGGGCAATCAGGTTGGCCTTGAGATTTCCAAAAATGTTACCGACCCATTCCGAATAGCTTGAGCTAGCTAAAAGCCCAAGTGGTTCGCCGAAGGCCAACTCGGCCATGATGTCGAATGTTGTGAGATTGTACAACTTGACCATATCGAACATCGTTTGTGGGTTCGTTTTGATGTCTCTCAAGATACTCTCAATTAGCTGGTCGACATACTTCGAGATGAGCGGGTTTTGCGCTTGAAGGCTTCTTTCGGAAAATGCAGGCGAGAACACTTTTCGAAGCTGACTGTGCTCGGCGTCGGGTATCGTTGTCAATAGATTTCGGTGTCCATTTGGATCCGGTCCGTACACAAGTCTGTCTTTTGGAAAGCTCCTCTTCCCACCAGTCTTATGGGAGTATATGTCTTTCCACGCCTGGCCATCGATAAAGCTCAACCTGGTAGCTCCCACGCGAACCACGCTCCCATATGTGTTGTGCAGAGAAACGAGCCACGGAACCATGTCTCCACTTGTCTGTATTGCCATGAACGGTATGTCGGAGCAAGCAGCGTATTTGGGCCCCGGGAAATGTGCAAGTGGGTGGAAAACCGCGTTGTAGGTGGCATATAACATGCCCAGTCCTACAAGCTGCATTACAGAAGATTGCCGTGAGCAAGCATTATAGCGAAATGTCTCAGCAGGCACGTACCAAAAAGGTGATGAAAATGACTATTTCTCTTGAAGGCAGTTGAAACACGTTGTGATGGAGGGAGCTTGTAAGAGTTTGCCACGCACTCCCTCCAACGTTGTTTGTGTCTAATGGCATCATGCTCCTGGAAAAAGATTTTGTTGAATGCTGGTTTCTCGTTTGAGTAAGATGTGTGACGTGCCTTTGGGGAATCTGTGAGTCATGGAGGTCTTTATGTGGATGAAGAGCGTGAGTTGTGCAGAGGTTTTCAGTGATCTAAGGCGTGTTGAGATGAGAGAACTTCTTCAGTCGGAGTTCCCGTCATCCGAATGGAGAATCGGAGCGGACAATAAATTTGAAGACACCGAGCCGGGATCACGGGTTGAAATTGAACTCCCCGAATGAGAAGACTCCCCGACAAGCAAGACAATAGACAGGCAGCTGTATGTGGAAACCAAGGTTTAGGTTAGGGATCTAAATAGGACGCTTTCTTGTCGATCAATTAGCTGCAAACAAGCCTTCTCAAGGAAGGGGGTGATTCGCAGGTATCACCTATCGGCTGATACGTTTCCCGCGGGACTAGACAGGGATCACGAAGCTGTTATGAGAGCTATGGCTTGGAGCATTTGAAAATGAATTGCATCATACTTCGTAGGAATCTGTGCCCTTTGCTAATATTACGGCGTATTTGCAGGCTCTAGGTCTTTACCGTGTGATCTGCTTCGAGGCTCAGTTATGGGAGTTAAGAATGCCCAATTCGAGGTGATTGTGTCCATAAACGGCAGCTCCCCGTCTTCAATATTAGTAGCAACCCCGTTGTCAACCCCCAGCGGGTACCGCCATTCCTGAGGTTCAGAGGGCGCTGGGATTCCAGAGTTTGTAACGATGAATGGGAAGTCCTCATCTCCGATGTTATCATTCAATCGAGTTTGTGCTCGCAGCTCAACGATGTATTCGGGGTCTTCGCAAGATAACCCGGAGCTGGAGTGAAAATCTCGTCTTTTCGCCCACGCCGTCAGCACAGCCTGGCCGAGAACTAAGCAAGATCTTTCGGAGGCCTCCAAAAGTCCAGGGCGAAATCGGTAAATAGTCGCAATGTTTTCCCATGCTCGGTCCCCCATATAGTGATCAACTCTCTGCCCGAGAAGTACAACCACGTAGAGCAGGATGTCGTACTGGAAGTTAAAATCCGCGAACCAACTAAACCCATTGCTCTGAGAGTGCTCATATAGAGATGCGATATGCTCCAGGAATGCGGCAGCCCCCAAGAATGCACCCTCCGCCTCATGAACACCCTCGGCTTCTGGTCTGGATCTGTCGTTAAGCCCCCTCATCAACTGGCCTTTCTGCACAATGAGTCCTGCTCCTAAAGCTTGAGCAAGAACATGAGCTTGCCCCGCGTGTGTATTACATCGATACTCCAGAATATGTTGCAAGCCTTCTTCAAGAATATCGAACTGGGTAAGATAGTAGCCCATTTGCTGATTCCTCGAATCGACGAATAGAGGGGGATGAATAGCCAGACTGTTGAGCTCCGCGGCCATTTTGACGGGCTCTAGGCCCGGCGTGTCCACAAGAAACTTCGTCAACTTATTTCTGATCAAGCAAATCACCATCTCTGATGGGCCATCGCGATCCAAAGTCGGCAGAGTTGCTGTCGGGAAGATATCGGCATCATTCAAGTTACTTGGCTCTTGAACATCCCAATCTCGCGGAAGCAAGGAATGCCCAAAGCCAGAGAAAAGCGCAAACTTCGAATCAAGTGACACAAGTTGCCACCATATCCTTCGCCGCATCTCGGTTTCAAAGGGCCCAAGACCAAGAGCGCGCCCATCTCGATGAAGACCCATTTTCTGAGCGATCCGAATGACAGTGCCACTTAGAACCCATGAACTATGGCGATCGTCTTTCGCCTGCAAAGAGTACTGCTCCACCCGTCAACGAACGAAATCTACGTGCAGGACGGAGCATACCATGTACAGGCAAAGCGTTTGCAGCACTACCAAATCGTCTGTTCGCATGAAGTCCAGATGTCGAAGAGCTTGCTGTGTGGCTTCAGAAAAGGTCACTGTGGCTGATTCTTTGGATATTCCCAAAGACTTGCCTCATTCGTCCTCAGTCATTGAAATTACTGCCATCAGGAAGATGGAAAGCATAAGCGACATGATGTTGGATGATAGACCACGAGGGCCGTTGGTGGCCTCGACGACAAAAGGCTGAAGGCTTGGCACATGAATCACCTTTGTGAATGGATTCACACGGTCTAGAAAGGTCTGCCAAAGCTTGAACACAACGGCCGGACTTGGCCAAGCATGTGCTGTGCTTGTGCTAATGTTTTCTCCGTCAAGAATGAGATCAGAGTTTGACATTGAGGGCTTGGGATACAGGGCGTTGTTGCACTCTTTTTCGTCCAAGTTTATCAACTCATGCATCGCTCGCAGCTATTTCATCGACTTCAGTAATCATGCACCTTGATGTCAACCGAGACCTTCTTACCTCATCATTCACCATACCTATCAGGTAGTTATCCATGAATGTGACTTTTCCATTTGGATTCTCTACCAACTTTCCATCCGTAGTCCATTTGGATACATGTGATGGCTCCGTCGGAGTGTGGGAGTGTGCACTTTGAGGCGTGCCGTTTTCTCTTCCAGAATCATTACGACGATTATTAGAATTGTTCAAAAGCTCTTCACATCGTGCTAAGCGGGCTTTGAGAGCTTGATTGTACGGTCTCCTCCCTCGAGCAGGAGCTGGTGTCCCTGGGACACACGGAGTGGATGACTGCAATATTTAGTTTATGCGTATCTTTATTCTGAGACGAGTTGCTGGATCGGTACTCATCCATACTTTGATGCAATTGTTGCATGGAAGATCTCGGTTGCATTTGATTTTTCGTCTTTGACAAGTCACACATGCAATCAGGCGTATGCCTGTGTTCGTTCGGTGGTCGTCGGGGGAAAACGACTCCGATTCCGAAGGCCCCGATAGGAATGAAGCCATATCCGTAGTACTTGTCGTCAGGCGTTTGCTCGAGAGTTGTGCTTACGTCAATTAAACAGAGCGATGAGGCAGGATTGATGCTTGACAAGGTAAAAGGTACTCCATTCAAGGTCGCGAAAATGAATGTCGGTCGGTTCTGTACGTGCGATTGTCCGAAATGGAGCATATATGGGTTTCGGGATTGAAAGTTTCTCCGATGCTCCGCGAATAATTCTCCTGGCACCGAATGGATCATCCGACACCTAGCGCCAGACGATGCACTGCAGGCAGGAAAGCTGAGGCCTTTTGAGGCTTGGACTATGTCCGACTTTGACGGCCATAACATTTTTCATCTGATCTGCATCTGAGACACCGTGTGGTATTGCAGATAAAAAAGCATATGGAATCTGCACTACAAGAGACTCTTTCTTTCCTTCTAACTTTTCATCTTCGCAGTTTGCCGCCTGAAGGCGCAACTTGTTGACCGTCGTACGACTCTCACGGGGAATCATTCAAGGGCCAGGATAGCTCACTACAAGAGACTTCACGATTGTCAAGTTGCACGTAAGTCTGTGCAGACCTGTACGAATTGACTCAGATGTATTACGGTGTCTTGATGTCGAAAGGTAGAGGAATAGAGAAATGGGAAGCTAAGGAACACTTGGCAGGCTCCAAAGCATATCCCAGGCGCGATCCTCTGGGTCAAGGATATCAGACGAGCTTCCCCATAGTCCGAAAGGAGCTAGACTCCTGTCCAGTGGCAGAGAAAGCCAGTCCCCTGATGGGAAGCAAAGATCGTTGGTTGTTGTACCACTGAGGGCCCCCACCTCGCCATCGTTCCACTCTACAAATGATGGAAATGATGACAAGTCTCTTGGATTGGTACAGGGGGCCATTCCTTGACGAAACCTTATGACGTATGCCTCTAGAAGCGATCCATACCTCAAGGCAATATGCATATCGTCCAACGTACCAGTCTTAAAGACACTTATGCTCGTTTCCAGAACGGCTAGTGATGCCTGCAGTTCTGTTACCTTTGTCCCCAAGCTAAGTGCCTTCAGTAAAAGTATTGAAGCAGTGATGACGCGCAAAAATATGCGCACAGGGCAAAACCGTAGCGTTCCAGATTCATAAAACCTGTTCATAGAGGTAAGGATTTCGCATGAACCATCAATGACTTCTTTAATGAACTCCGATTCGATAGCATTGACAGGCATATTTAAAATGGCTGCGTTTGCCTGTGCTGATGCCAGCCTAACGCCGCCTAATGCACGGTCGATGACCCCTTGGATCCCCAGAGAATTCATGAAGATGCGTGTGTAATTGTACTCAATCAAGAGCTCTTCTTGATAGTGTGCTGGAAGAACTGAGTTTCAAATGGTCAGGCCAGGTAGGGTTGAACTGAGGAGTGGCACAGCGAACTTACTAGCTGGTTCTATGTATGTATACTTCCAAGTACGGAGTTGATGCCTGAAGCGACGCACGATCGTTGTATAGCGACCATTCCTGAGTAGTTCTCTTGTTCCCATTGGTGATGGAAACAACATGTCATTCACTGTTCGCGATATATTTGTCAAATCTAGCCAAGACGACAAAATGCTGGAATCGTCGGCCAAGACGATGTTGTTGAGAGAGCACGGGGGTATATTCCGCCGGTATCATCGAAGCGCAGCCGAGTCGGTTTGAGTGTTGTTCTACCAGAATGTAAAGCAGTTGGCAGAGAGACTCCGGGCGTAGCCCAAAATCTGTGGGGGTTGTAGTAGCGTGTTCCGGCTCGCTCATGTTGAATAACCCTAACTCCAGAGACAGGGACTGCGCGCAACCAAGAAGCATCCAGGACATGCGGTCTGATGTTTTAGCGGGAGCAACAATATCTCGGAACCATTTCACATTGATCTCGTCCGTTTTATCCGCTCGGTTACTGTGTTCAGTGTCTCTCGGGTCGTCTTCAGTCAGCAGCAATGACGAGTCCCATCCATCGGCACCTGGTGGAAAGTGTATAGCTCGTGAGTGCCACTCTACCATCAGAAGCAATGCCTCAATGGAGCCTATTGTACGAGTCTTAGCCTTTGATCGTTTTTCCTGGCCGAATATTATCCTCAGGATGAGGTGTTGGCAATGCTCCCACAGTCTTTGGTGGATCAAAGTGCTTCTTGCAATTCCACCTGTTCCTGGAAGCACATGGTATCTTGAAGAAATCAAGAGTATCACGCAGCAAAGAAGTGGCTCCTGAGTAATTAGGTTAAAGTGCGCGTCATGGCTCGGGTTGAAGTTTCTCGAGACTAGTGACAGTGGCGCCAAATGTTTGAAGAATCTCCACCATGATCAGTTCGTGCTGCCAAATCATGTCATAGGGGCCTTACAGGTCCATGTAAGTAACCGCTTCTTCAGATGAAAACCACCCCATTTTCGTAAAACGGAATGCATTCCACATTCTGAGCGTCTTGGGAGATGGCACGGGAAGTTCGCTAGCCTTTGCTGCTACAGAAGGTGCTTTTTTCGGGGTGGATAGATCGATCACTGTCTGCGGGGCTGTATTAATAGTGGAAAGTTCGGCCGGCGAGTCCCCGTTCCTATTTTCAAGAGCAGCTTGAAACAGTAACTTCAGCGCATCGTTCCCATTGGAGACAAGCGTTCTCATCAATGTTCCGTTCAAGTCTCCAGTAACATCGCCTTCTCTTTGCTCGTTATCATTGTCAAGTCCAACTGCGTCAGGTCGAAGAACTTCAAACATTGACTGGGAATTGTCCGACTCTCCATCTGCTGGCGACGTTGTATTGGCGTCTGGTACAGGCCAGGTGCCGCTGGCGACACCATTGACAGCTGGTTCACTGACCACTTCTGAGGCAGCTTGCGAACCGCCATCCTTCATGTTGAGGTGGGCGGAATGGGGTAATTCTTCATACATTATCAGTGTGATTCTCGTGATGTTCGACAATGCCAGAAAAAAAAAAAAGATTACCTTTGTCTCTCGTTGTGCTCGATCCAAGTTCACATGGAATCCGAATTTCATCATCGGCACGACTGGAATGATGGGACCTCTCCACAGGAAAGACGCATTCCCTTAGTTCTCTTTTGCATCGCAAACAAGATTTCCCAGGCCCGTCAGTGATGCAGCGAATCTTCTTCCTGCGGCAAAGTTTGCACGCCTTGTAAGTACGGCGGAAGTTTCGAATCGGCCTTTCGTTCTCGGCGGGAGGGACGGATGCCATAGCCTGTAATGAGCCGTCAATGATGGAGATGGATCTTGCTTGTTGGGTGTGATGTCGATGAAAGCGAGAATTCGGGGATGGAAAGTGACGGCAAGACTGCCGGGTTTGTGTACGAGCCGTGACTTTCCGGTGGCATGGCCGGAAAGCCACGGAGAGCAGTGGAGAAATGTCCCGCGGTGGACAACTCGGTTAGTCTATGTTCATGGCCCGCGCCATTCCCGGGGTTAGAAACACAATTCTAGAGGGTATGATTGGTTGTCTTAGCCATTTGCGGGCCGATTGCCGTTAAGATCCATGCTTGCGTGTCAATTTACACCTTAATAAGCCAGCTCGGCTTTAGCGGTTAAATCTTGAGTACTTGGGGATTGCTTATTGGCAAGTGCTTGATTGTTGAAAACGGCCTCCTAATTAGGTATGACGCAACTTCCACTAATGCCATCGTATCTACTGCCTGCAGGCCTCGGCCCCAGGTAACTGCGTTATGTAAGCTACGTAGTTCAAAAAAAGAGACTTTTTAGGACTAATTAATAAGGTACTTATAGCTATACTACTATAAATCCTCCTACGCTTAATACTACTATATCTTAGCTAATAGAGCTATTTACTACGCTAATATTATTAGTATCTCTAATAATATAATCTTTAAAAATTAATATAAAGTATTATTATTAATTAGTATTAATATATATTTAAAGGTTTCTTATATATAAGTAATATATAGCTAGTTTATTACTAAGTTTCTTAAAAGTTATATATAGCTTAATAAACTAAGCTAAATTCTTTAATAATAGTTTATTTTACTATTTATTAAGATTAGTTTATTTATTCTCTTAAAGTTAATATTTTTAATAAAATTTATATAGAAGTAAAGATATTATTAGAAATTAGGATTATTTAGATAACTAACTATAGCTATCTCTATATTATAAATATTAATAAAGTTAAGTTAAGCTATTTTAGAAGAGATTAATAAAGATATTATAGAGGGGTTAACGTAATATTATAATCCCTACTAGCTTAGCTAGTTTTATAGCTATACTAATCCTTACTTTTAAGGTTCTCTATAACCTTAAGAGATGAGGCTAAATAGTAGTATATCTGTTAATACCTTGAAGCTTATTAGTAAAAAAAATCTCTTTCTAGAACACTAAAAAACTAGGTAACAAAACCAAAGCCATTATATCTATGAGATAGACAGCCCTTGCAGCACCAGCTAGCCTAGCTACCTAACTACCTATGAAGGCAGCCACTCGTAGTCTCAAGTTAAGTAACGAAAGCTGCGATGCTTATCCCCAACCTCTATCACATCGATCACAGTGTTTTCGTCCACTGGACCGAATTCAAGGTCCCTCTTGTGATTCTCATATTCTAAAGCGAAATGCAACCCTATAGCCGCAATGCCTGTGATGCCCGTCAACCCGCAACCAATTGCTGTTCCTTTGGTGTAGAACGGGCTGTCCAACAGGTTAGCTTTATGACGCTCATGCGCAACAGTACATTGAAAGAGCTACTGACCCATCAGAAGTCGGAAAGACCACACTGCTCATGAATGAAGAACATTGCCCAAGTGTTGCTAGGATTGCGAGGCCTGCGCCCTTTTTTGAGTCACCGCCCTGGTTGTTCAACAACCATGTGATATTGATGCACATGGCGGGGAAAACTCCACAAGAGGCGAGAAATACACCGGTGTATCGTGCCGCAACTTTTGATTCATCTCGAATTAGGACCAGAATGAGATAGCCGGCAGTAGCCATGACGCTACCACCACTGACGATAAATCCACGCATGCCGTAACGGTCGCTAGCCCAAGCTGCTGCAACACAACAAACAAAGGCTGCCAAATACGGTGGAGCTGTCAGACCTTGCGCTGTGACAGACGAATAGCCCATATCGCGGACAATAGTTGGGAGAAAGTTTGATAATGCAGCAAATGAGTAGTTGTTGCAAAAGTGAATCAGCGTATGCACGTAGTTTTGGTAATCAGTCATTCCTGCAAACACTTGGTCCCATCTGATGGCAGACTTTTTTGTGTTGTCTCGTTGTTGCAGTCTCTCTACAGCGAAGGTTTTGTCCGCTTCCGACAAGTGAATCAGCGTATGCACGTAGTTTTGGTAATCAGTCATTCCTGCAAACACTTGGTCCCATCTGATGGCAGACTTTTTTGTGTTGTCTCGTTGTTGCAGTCTCTCTACAGCGAAGGTTCTGTCCGCTTCCGACAAGAAATTTGCTGAACCAGGTGAGTCGGCCAGATAGAACCAAGTGACTGCACCGAAGGCAATCGTTGGCGCTCCCTCTGGTTTCGTTAGGTCAGTATTCTCATTGTTAGGATGTAAACTTGCCGATAATGAATAGATATCGCCAAGGCTCCAGAGACCCGCGAATCTGTGTGATTCCAAAGGCAAGGGCAGACGCGAAGCAATTTGCCAGGGCCGACATTCCAATCAGGAGAGATACTCTGAATCCCAGTTCGCGCCGCTTGTAAAACATGGACAGAAAGTACGGGGCACCGGCGCCGAAAGCTGCCTCAAACAGGCCGAGAAAAGCACGCGAGGCTGCCAGAGACCCGAGATTATGCGCAGCACCTGAAGACATTGCCGCAGTGCCCCAGCTAATAGTTTCATAGGCATCAGCGATATTCCACAATGATTGAAAAGATTTTGAGGGGCAGCCCACAGAATGCATAGCACTGCCACGTACTTGCTGGCAGGGAGTATCTTCCAGAGGAGATTGGTCCATTCAAACACGACGTAGGCGATATAAAATGAATTTAGAACCCAAGCCCACTCAGAATCAGAAAGCTTTAAATCAGATTTGGCTCCGGCGGCTTTTGCGTTACCGATGTTGCCACGGTCAAGGTAGGAGAGGATGTAAAGGCAGCACACAATGGGAAGGAGATGTCGGTCAAACTAAGAACTCCAGTCAGATGATTTCGGTCTGCGTTGTATCGGGTCAACGTACTGATCTTCGAATTCGAATGTCGGTCTGCTCCGATATTGCTGCGTGATCTCGCACTGCTGGCATGTCAACATCCTCGACTTGCTTCGCCTCGACTGATACTTTATCGTCAGATACGGCTTGCGCCATCGCTTGCCGTCAGATACAGACTCTACCTGTTCTTAGTAAAGTAATGCAAGGTACACAAAACCAACTGGCTCTTGTAAAGCCTGTGAAAGAAGAAATGAATAATGGGCCATGCAAACATGTTCTATTCCACAAGGAAAGCCACTGCTTTATGTGTATGATATCCGCACTTCTCCGATCGCAACTTCGATCTGCAGCTCCCTCACTCAATGCAAGTGAATGCGGGGAATAGACTTATCAAGTGGAGGCTTGAGGAACATTTACCCCAGATTCTCTGATTGATCTACACCAACCCTGGTCGCACGTTTCCTTGAAGTCAACCGTGTGTCCTAGCTTATCCGTTCCTTTCCGTTTGGTGTTCCGGATAGTCAAGGAACACAAACAACATCTCAAAGCCGTACGTATCGTTCATGGCAGTTATAAATGAACACGTAGGTTTTCGAAAATGGACCGAACTTGGCTTCTAATAAAGCAAACAATTTACAATCCCAAAGACATACGCAAGAAAAGCAACTCAACTGCATCTCCTTTATCATGTCGAAATCAATTGTCAACAGCATCCCCTACCCCTTCAAATTCAACCCTCCGGTCGTGGAGAAGAAGGGAAAACCAGGGCAGACGGAGAACCTGACTACGACGCTTGTGAATGTTCGAGGGAAGATACCCTCAATCCAGGCTTCTCGCTTGCGGACAATGATGCTAGAAGCACACAACGATTCCGACAAAATTCTAGCCCATGCGTGCACTTACGATGGTCTCTCATCTCGCCTAGTCGAAGAAGCAGGCTTTCCCGTGGTCTTCTTGGCTGGTTATGCGGTTGCCAGCGCCTACGGGCTTCCCGACACCGGTTACATTGCCATGTCGGAAATGTGCGACAAGATTGGAGAGACTGTGCGTCAGGTGTCTGTGCCAGTAATGGCTGATGGTGATACTGGCTACGGAAGTCCGCTGAACGTTAGGCGAACAGTCGAGAGCTTTGCTGAGGCTGGGGCTGCCGGCGTGATGATTGAAGACCAGACTTGGCCTAAGCGTACGATATGCTCACCATTTCTTGTGGCTCTCTTCTCACTTTGACATGAACAGGTTGCGGCCATACGAAGGGAAAGTCCGTTGTGTCACGAGGCGAGGCGTACGCTCGAATTCAGGCGGCATGTGATGCCCGGGATCAGGGCAAAGATATTTTTGTTCTTGCCCGAACCGATGCTTTGGTCATTGGATGGAATGAGGCATTGACACGAGCCAAAGAGTTCAAGAGAATTGGAGTCGATGCCGTCTTCGTCGAGGCCCTACCCGACCGAGACGCTATGCGCAAGTGCGTTGAAACACTGCAACTCCCTACGTTTGCAAACAGTAAGTGAACCACACTCTATATCAAGATGCAAGATCTCTAATGTGAAGCAGTAATCGAAGGTGGAAAGACTGAAAATTTGTCAGCAAAAGATCTGGCTGAACTCGGGTTTTGTGCCGTGGCATATCCTTGGACCCTCGTCGCTGCGAAGTTGAAAAGTGTGCGTGAGACGCTCGAAAGCTTGAAAAGAAGCATGACAGTCGGTGCACCACCTATGATTCTTTCTTTTGACGAAGTCTGTGAGGGTGTAGGTTTCAAGAAATACTGGGAACTGGAAGATCGGTATAAATATGATGACGATGGGCCGATCAACGTCAACGTATCTTCGCCCTGAGGGAGACCGAGAGTCAAGCTTTCATTAGTGACAAGGAGGGGTGCAGAGTACAATTTGACGGTGATATTCTTTTTCAATTGACCTCTTTGTCGTAACGCTTTGCAGTCATTTAATCTATCACCGTTCCGGCGCTTTGAAACCCACCAGTACTAAAACCGCGATTGCCTCTACAAGGCTCGTCCAGAAACATGCTCCTAATTCGGAACGGTCGACAGGATATCGAACCTGGGGCCACAGCACATGCTAAGACATGTGGGTGACGCTGGCCTTCTCCCCCTCCTTTTTTCCATTTGCATCTATGACGACCGGACCAGCTGCGAGATCCTCCGCCTTAGGGTACGCAACCTTATGGACGGTGTACCAAGGTCGATTGAACAGGCTTTCCATGGACTCTAGAGATCTTCCAGAGGTTTCCGGCATGGCAAGATATACGTAGACAAGGGAAACAGAGCAGATGACTGCAAAGAATATAAAGGCACCATAGCGCTCGGTAGCGGCCAGAAGTGATGGCATAGCTCGCGAGCAGCCAAAGTAAAAGGCCCAGTGAAAAGCCATGAGAACAGATACGCACAGAGATCTGATACGGATCGGAAAGACTTCTGCACTGACAAGGTAAGGGATGGAAAACCATCCTATAGACCACGCGATGGCATGCAAGTAGATTGCCGCGATGGCAGCTTCGCTTGCTCGCCTGGCTGCTGGGTCTGCAGAAATGTCTCCTGGGTCTCGTCCGTTAGTCACTTTGAGATAGACGCCCACAAAAAGAAGGGTGGTGATCTGGAGACATATTCCAGTAAGAAGGGACCGCCTCCTGCCGATGAAATCGATGACGAATACTGAAAAGACCAAAACTGAGACGAATTTGAGAATCGCATAGACTCCAGTAGCAAGAAGACGACCTTCCTCGCCTTGGATGCCTAAATATCCAAAAATGGACGGGCTATATTGAGTACTGGATTTCGTCATGGGTCAGGACCGGCGTACGTTCTTGGGGTCGTGATACTCACATTGCGTTTGCTCCGCTCCATTGGGAAAATAAATGCGCCAGAAACATTAAGATGAATCGTCGTCTATTAGGAATGTCGGCCCACGTCTCCTTTGCTAAATCAAGTATCGAAGCGCCTGATACAATCTCCAATTCGTGATCCAGTTGGGCCTCCATTGCTCGGAATTCGTCTTGCACGTAGGGATGATCGGCTGGAAGTTGTCGAAAGTCACAAAGGACCTTGAGAGCTTCTGTTGATTTTCCACGAGACAGCAGGAAACGGGCAGACTCGGGAGTGAAGAATGTTCCCAGACCCCACATTATCGCAGGCGCGATCTGGAGGGCGGTTGGCAGCTGCCATTGGATTTGGGAACCTGAATAGTGTTTCGTGATGCCGTAGTTAAAGAAGAAGCCGAACACAACTCCCAGCTGCTGACAGCAGGTGTATTGAAGAGTCAAGAGACCGCGTATCGACCGAGGGGCAATCTACACTATCGATCAGTTTGCGAAACACGGTGCCTTGAGATAGCTCGCGTCCCTACCTCGGAAATGTACACGGGAGGCAGCACCGTTGTAGCACCTATTCCTACACCAGAGATGATTCTCGAGAAATATAGACCCGTCATATTTCCACTAGAGAATGTTTGCCCCAAGATTCCGGCAATGTATATCAATGTGAAGATTTGCATTGTTAGCCGACGGCCCAACTTCTCAGTGAGGCTTACGCAGGCCAGACAACCAAGAACAGCACCACCCGTCGCGATAGCCACAATCCAGCCTTTTGTATTCGAATACTCGCTTTCAGATTGATCACCTATCCCAAATCGAGTTTTGAAGACGGACATTGTGACCAGGGATGCGATATTGCCTGTGGCGAGAGGCTCATTAGCTGGATGCATGCGTTGGATGACACCGATGTATCTTCGGTACACACCTTCGTCGAATCCTTTCGCGACCCCTGAGAAGCTCCATATCCAGGTGCAGACAAACAAGTATCGATTGAATATCTCTCTGGGGCTGTTTCGTACAGCAGCTGTTGTGGCACTGATGAGGGACATTTTGAGCAGCTTGCTGAGTTACACTAGGTGAGAAATACTGCTAAACCAGAGCTTGATGGTTAACATTAGTGATAAGCACAATCGCTTCCTGATATCTTTGTCCACCCTTGTCATGATTCCACAACCTTCCCCGGACCCCGCGAGCTGCTGCGTCCCGGATTCGGGGGATACTACGCGGAAATCCTAGGCAGCTCACCATTTAGGGGGTGTGATTCGGAATTGCGCCGAGGGTCAGGCCCGGGTCCTGTCCGACGATACTAATTACCGGAGGATTTCCGTCCCTGCCGATCCCACACACTTGGCGAGAATCTTATGAGAGAACTTGTCCATGAAATTTTGATTATCTGTGATTTCGGATTGGCTCCTTGACAAAGTCTTTAAACATTTGATTGCGCCTGCTGCCAGTTGCCAGTTGGACAACATCGCATAAACATTCACATACGTTTCTCGCAATGAACTTCTATCCCGTGCCCCCGATCATACAGGCCGAACTTTACGTTCGGATTCCAGACGATATGCGTTGCCTTGGAAAAGACACCGAGTGGCGCGGTGGCTTTGCGCGACAATTCCAACATATTTTTCTCGAGGGACCAGTCGTCGATAATCTTGGCAACCTTTATATCGTGGATGTTCCCTACGGTCGAATCCTTAGGATTGACCCGGCGAAGACCATTACCGTTGTCGCGACATGGGACGGTGAACCCAATGGGCTTGCTGCAACTCATGACGGTCACTTGGTTATTGCAGACTACAAGCAGGTACGCAGAATCCACCGCGCCGATTCGCAACATCTTAGCCTTACCAAGTTGATCGTGCTCAGGGAATCCTCTCCTTCGATCCATCCAATCAGAAGATCAAACCACTGATCACCCGGCGTCATCTCGAGCGATTCAAGGGCCCAAATGACTTGATTGTTGATTCTCAAGGAAGTGTTTACTTCACTGACCAAGGCCAAACCGGTATGACAGATCCAACTGGCAAAGTGTACAGGTTGTTGGCTGGCGGAAAACTGGAGACAATTGTTGAGAACGGCGTGTCCCCAAATGGACTCGTTCTCTCGCCCGACGAAAAGTTTTTGTTCGTTGCGATGACAAGATCTAACCAGGTTTGGCGTCTCCCTCTTCATTCTGATGGGACGACAACCAAAGCTGGTGTGTTTTTTCAGTCATTCGGGAACGCGGGTCCAGATGGCCTAGCAATTGACGAAGAGGGGAGCCTCTTCATCTGTCATCCCAGTCTAGGATCCGTCTTCGTCGTAGATTCGAATGGCATCCCCAAAGCACGCATAGTCAGTGGGACGAGTGGTATCAACTTGACGAACTGCTGCTTTGGCGGGCCAGAGAACAAGACCGTTTTTATCACAGACAGCCTGGAAGGAAATGTGCAAAAGGTCAACTGGCATTGCCGTGGCGCAAGATCACAGCCAAGACTCAGGACGTAGTAGACCTGCCAAAAGTGCGCCTGGGCAGAAGAGAACTTCACCCCCAAGCGAGAATTTTGCTTTCTCCCAAGCAAATATCATATCGACGTTGCAATGCGTAAATGTGCATCGTATGCTTACATTTCACTACTCACGCGGCACCAAATCTCCAACTGGACGCAATCACACAGTTCCGTTCGTCGGCATCGTCGGCAATTCCGAACAGGTGTTCTCGTTTGCATCGCGGCGCAGTGTTGGTGATGAGATACGACTTTGTCGAGACACCCACGGAGACATCATTTGCCGCCAACATCCCTGAAGATTGGCACCAGCATCCTCGATTGATTGTCACCTGCATCCCTGAGCCATGTGGTGAATAGCCAATCGCAAAAGCGTAGAAAACACAAAGTTAAAGTTAGCCAATTGGATCATCATTTTAGCTGAAACATCAGACTTAATTTCAGGTCAAAATGTTGGGATGAAACGGAGCTGGGTCTCTGCAGTATGTGAGCATGTTTGCGGAAAGCCTTGGTTTAAAACAGCATGTGTAACATGCGCGTGCGCGCACAGCCATCACCATTTGTAGCATCAGAGGCAAAGAGAGAGCACGGTTATTACAGCAGGCCGAATAAAACCATAGAGTTTCCCCCCAGAATACGCTCGTTGCAGCTGCTCATTGCACCTTCAGACCATCTCATGAGCTGCATGCAACTTCGCACCCAGTATGGCTTCAACTCCCGAATATCAGCCCTTCCTGAAATACTCGGACGACCCGGCGGCCGAGGAGACCAGTCCTCCACAGCATCCCGTTAAACGCCGTACGACAGTACTATCCCACGTGCTGGTCTTCGTTGCGACATCTTTAGTGTGGGGTTTCGTCGTTTTTCTCATCGTCCCTTCACCATTGCCGACAAGCTCGACGCAAGTCTCGGCATCGACTCACCCCACGATACTGGAGAATCACCTCGCCGGCATACGGCACAACGTCACTTCGGGCAAGCGTCTTATAAATTGCGGCAACTCGACCGAAGAAGCAAAAGCCCAAGGATGCAAATATGACATCTTGCTCAACCACTGGGTCCCCGGACCTTGTTTTGACAAAGAATTGGTCGACGAATATCGCGATGACAATAGCTGGGGCGCATTCTCTGATATAAACATGACGCACCGCCTGACTATTGACGAAATGTCAAACCGAGACTTTTACTGGACGTCGATTCGCGATCACATTAACCATTGCGCTATCATGTGGAGGCGGCAATTCTACGTTCTCTTCGACGAAAGGCGCGCCATGGATACCGTCGTCACAAGTCCAGGGCACACCGAGCACTGCTCCCAGTACTTGATGGATGTCACAGAAGGAATGTTTAAGGAGCCGACGAAGACAATGAGGGGGTTTGCCGGTTGTTGGATTAAGGATTGAGACATTCCGAGCAAGCAGTCTAGGATATGTTAGGGTGACTTTGCAATTCGAGCTTCGTTTAGGAATAAACACTGCTGTGCTACGTTCCGCGGTGCTGTAACTCTCTCCGTTGGTATGGCCTTCGACTCTGCGCACGGTAGTTCCGACGGGACTGGGCCTGCTAGCCAGAGCCCCGGCGGACGCTCGGCGATAGCGATTCCCACAATGAGATGGATACAGGTCCTGAAAAGGCGCCGTCTTTGGTAAGCAAAAAGTGAGATTAATTAACGCGTTGGAAGCCACGAGTTCCAACGTCCAATCAGAATCGCGGTAGATGCCCCTGGAGAAAGCGATCTTGCAGCAGCGACATGTCTGTCAGGAGATCCGCGAGACGCAACCTGCGCGGGATGATCCCCACCCATACACTGAGCGGGGCAGAAGACTCTGGTCAAAATAGCCGAACCAAGCCGATTCCTCCACCTTGACACGCCTCGTCGGAGTCAGTCCGAAAGTCATGCCGCAATCGATGGCTTAACATATGAGGGGATCACAAGTGACAAACCGTGCATTGGTCTTCTCATTGAAGGTCATGACCAAAATGAACCCCGCTCCAGATCGACTGCCCCGGCTTCCCGCCTGTCAGTTGTGTTATCAGAAGAAAATCAAAGTATGACTCCCTAAAATTCAAGAGGGTACCTATCCACAGGTACTGCAGAAGTGATTTCATAATTCACCTAGGGCGGGCAGCTAATGTCAATCTTTCAAGTGTGACAGTACAAGGCCAGCATGCACCCCTTGTTCAAGAACGGGTAACGACTGCATCGTGCTTAACTCTGGTGGCGAAGAAACACTCTCTCGAGCGTAAGAGTTGGGCCGCCCCTCGGGCCCTCCTTGTTCTGGCGATTACATGACATCTAACGGCTATTCATAGAGAGATTGATCGTTTAGAGCAGCGTGACAAAGAATTATCTCAAACTTTACATACTTTTCATGTCGATGAAGCCTCAACAAGCAATACCACGGACCAGCCCACCGCGGAGGCCGATCCGGCGGTCACCTCGATTGAGAACTCTACTGTCTCACACGGTGAGGGACTAGGGTAAGTCCGCACCTTAATCATGATTTCTTTCTCGGAAGGTTTCTAACAAGCATGAGATTTATGGCTTCGCTGTTCACCGATCCAGATTTGAGAAGAAATAATATAGAACTACTTCAACTGCTGGCAAGAGTCCCAGGCGCCCCTGAGCCTGCAATTCAACCTTGCGGTCTTCCTTCTAATGAAGATGGCGAGTTCCTGTTCGAAAAATAGTATGCCAGTCATTTGAAGCATTCCATTGAACCACTGTTCCTGACACCATGACGCAGTCTGAGTTGGTCTCACGTGCAGAGTCCTTTTCTTCGTCGAGACGAGGTCAAGTCTCTCTCAGGCCGGGTATTTTTACTCGTGCCGGCTGATCAACCCGCTTCAAATCACGATTTGTTTCGCGCATTCATGATTCTCGCAGTGGGCGCAGTATTCCCATTCAAGAACGGTACTCATAGCCAGCACCCGGAAGGATACTACCTCGCCGCTTTGCAACACATGGGGTCGGACTTTCTTACACGAGGCTTGGCCTCTATCCAAGACCTTCTTTTGATATGCCGATTTGGTATATACCATCGTATAGGTACGTCTGGTTCCAATGCGTATTGTCGCCACACTCTGTGCTCACGCCGTTGTTTGAAGGCACGTCAATCTGGGACGTGATTCGGCTTTGTGGTCGTCTATGCATCGAACAAGGCTTACACCTTAACGAAAATCCCTCTTCGAACTTCATGCAGGCCCAAATGGAACGACGAGTATTCTGGCAGTTTTACATGATCGACAGATATAGTTCTACATTACTTGGAAAACCATTCGGTATCGATGACCGCGACATTGAGACCAGCTTTCCAGCAGATGCAAATGACGAGGATCTCGTTACTGCAAATCAATCTTCAAGAGATTTTGCTGCTTTTCGGCTGTCGCATATCACGCTTGAGACGACAGAGATGACCGTTTTCTTTACCTCCGTGCGCTTGCGACAGATCTCGTCCAGAATCCACACCGAGTTCTCTAAGCTTGCGCGCAACTACTTCGAGTCTTCGCAGAGTCATTTTGCTCCCGGATATATATACACAACTCTGAGCCGCCTGATGCAGGAGCTACAGCATTGGAGAGATGATTCTCCGGTCTTTCAACAGCCAAAATGTTTTTATGAGTCGCAGAGTTGGTATGATCTATTGCTAGCCAGGGAGGAGCTTTACCTTGTCCGACGAGCCATTGACCTCGTGCCCAAACGAGACAGAAAGACACCTCGTCATATCTGCATTTTATGCCTCAGGACTGCACTTCGAACCATTTGGATCTATTCAACACTGTGTCAACAGCGCCCACTCATCACACACACACGCAGCTATTTTCATATGATGTTTACGGCTGGTCTATCTGTACTGTTTTGTGTTTCAACGGCAACAAAGCTAGAGAAAGAAGACATCTCAGATGCCACAGCCGGTCTGTTTCAATGTGAAGAGACATTGAGGGACATGGCCGAGCAGCTACCAAGTGCAAGACAATATGCTGCTGTTTTCGAAGCTCTTCGGCGCGATACCACGCGGAAACTGAACAAAATTCTCGACACATTACAATCAGACAACGCATCCCAGAACATAGGGCCAGATAACGTGACCCCAGCTTTCCGACCATCATCATTGGATAGACCATCAAATGCTCTGAGAGCCCCAGACTACTTGATCCTCGGCTCGCGGGGCTCCTCGCAATCCAACATTCTGGGCGCGAATCTCAATGCGACACTTCAAGAAGACAACTTTGGAGGAAGCATTACAAATAACGTCCCGTTTTCGTTCCCCATGGAGAGGATTGTACCAGGGGACACCGCAATGTCACTCAGTAGTGTGAGAGACAGTCATGCGGCGCTGGGGGTATCAGATGACTTCTCGCCAAGAAGCGATCTCTTTGACTGGGCATTCCTGAATGATGAGACTTTGTGGAACATGGAGTCTGTCTTGGGAGAATATGTGTATGGAGACCCAGATAGACACATCGGGGCTCTGGATGCTTTCGATTTCCAATAGTAGGGTATAAAATAGCTTCCCAAAGTTTACCTCGTCTGGACTTGCCTTCCTGTTTGCTCTTAGATACATCTCACGTGGATACACAACATCTAACTGTAAATACGTTCTAGGAATACCATTTAGGCACAGTATCATGAATGACATGTCATGTCGCACGGGCTTCTTGTTACAATGGATGTTGAAAACAACGGATCATCATTAATGAGCGGATTTAGATACTGAATTCAATCACCTTGTAGTTCTTTCTAGGATCGACTTCTGGCATAGTCTAACAACTTCGTGGCTGCTGCCATGCCTGTTTGGACTTGAGTCTCTCTAGTTGCTGCCCCAATGTGTGGCGTACTGAGCGCACCAACGTCCCACAATGTACCGTACCTCTCCTTGCTAGGAGGCTCTTCCTCATGACAGTCCAATCCAGCTCCCCAAATGAGTCCTTCTGCAAGGGCACATTCTAATTCAGTTTCGTTAATAATACCTCCCCGAGCTGTGTTGATAACTATGGCTGTGTTTTTCATGATTTTGAACTGTTCGTAACCAAGAAGATGTCTGGTAGCGGGTGTCAACGGCATGTGAACCGTTACAACGTCGGAAGTTGATAAGACCTCCGATACTGACTCGGCGCGGGAATGAGGAATTTCATTCCAGGCGTCAAGAGGCAAATAGGGGTCGTAAGCCACAATGTCCGCCTCGAACGCTCCGCGAAAGATTTGAGCAACAGCCTTTCCAATGTTGCCCATGCCAAGTATGCCGATCGTCTTCCGGTGTAGGATAACCCCTGAGCACGTCTCCTTGGGCACAAGAATGCCAGCATTTTGCTTTCCTGCGATGCTTCCCACTTATCTTGCCACGGCTGTCGTCAAAGCTAAAACCATTTCAGCCACCGCACGCGCGTTGACACCGGGGGTGTTGAAGATTTTAATGCCACGCGCAGAACAAGCATCACCATCGATCTTGTCAATTCCGACACCTTGCTTTCCGATGGCAAGAAGATGCGGGCAAGCAGCGATATCTTCGGCCGTGAGGCGTGAGGACCGCATGAGAAGGAACCGAACATTTTCCTTCCACTTGGCATGTTCAGGTTGTCCAGGTAGAATTGCGTTGAAATTTTCTTTACAAAAGCTGATGACCTCGGGTTGGAACGAATCCAACACGTAAACTGTCGGCTTGGAGCGGGAAATCACGCCCGTGGTTGGATCAGATATAATCCCCGGGGCCATGTTGAGAAATGAATTGCGAGGAGGAACAGGTGAGATAGCCTAGCGACCGCTGGTTGAAGATGAATCCGGGGTTTGTTCCTCCCTTGGTTCTGGCCTTCGTGTTGCGGTCGATGAAGTTGACTTTAAACCTGAGGACTTTTGGCTTCGTTTCGTGAAAATGGCGCTGTGGAAATCAACGGTCACACAGCTGGGGCGAAGGTGGCCGGTCGCCTTTGATACCTGACGGATCCACCCGGAAGGCCCCCGATATCATCGGACGGCCTCCGACGCTGCTGTCTACCTCTGCCTAGCCTCACTCTGATGACGGAATGCCACCGAAAAGCCCCCTTGTGAATTGTTTCGGTCATGTGTGATTTGGACGCGGTTTCGGAGGGCCGAAAAATGTGCGGAGGTGCCGAAACTGTTATAGAATCTCTCGGCATGAGTCCGGGCATCATGGCGCGACCAGCAAATAAAAATTCATATAACAATGCCTCTATCATACGCCGTTGAAGATGCTTGTACACAGAGCATTTATCAGCATAATCATCAATATTCAAAATTTCCTCTTCCAAAATGGCCGTTTCAATCCCCCATTCGCTCAAAGAAAAACTCCTCCGTAACGAGGTGGCATCAACTCTTAGCGTCAAACTAGTCAAGTCGGTAGAGCTTCCTATGATGGCTAAGACCGCAGGATTTGACGGAATTCTCATCGATATGGAGCATTCCTCATTCGACCTCGAGACGACCTCCCAGTTATGCATTGCCGCGCTGTATGCTGGCATCTCGCCCATCGTACGCGCTCCGAGCAAAGATCCTTTCTTCGTCTCTAGAATTTTGGATGGTGGCGCACTTGGTGTCATTGTGCCGCACATTCGCAGTGTTCAGGATGCACGCGACGTTGTTGCCGCTGCCAAGTTCCAGCCTATCGGCACGCGATCGTCAACCAACGGGCTTCCTCATTACCAATTCCGCACGATTCCCGCCAAGGTCTCCAACCCGGTCACAAACGACGCAACTTTGGTCATTCCAATGATTGAGACTCTTGAAGCACTAGAGTTGGTTGATGAGATCGCAGGGGTAGAGGGCGTAGACTCTCTGCTCATTGGTACCAACGATCTGACGGCTGAGATGGGTATTCCGGGTGACTACGAAAACCCTAGACTCACAGAAGCCTATAAGCGAACAATTGAGGCTTGCAACAAGCACGGAAAATGGGTTGGAGTTGGAGGTCTTCACTCACGAATGGATTTGGTCGAGAAGTTCTGCCAAATGGGAGCCCGCTGGGTAATGGCTGCGACTGATGGCCCATTGCTCATCGCCGGTGCCACGAAGAGAGCTGCTGAGATGGCTAGTCTGAGCGTTAGGGCGACTTCAGCTACGAATGGCAAGTCATAAATTGTCAGTGACCATCGATCCGATGCTGTTGTTTAGCACAGAACACTGTCACTGCAGGGTGCCATAAAGCATGGTATGATGGGATGTAAGCGGTTCCAGATTTCGTCGCGGTAGATGTCTCATTCATCATTCAGAGATTTGAAATATTGGCATGCAATCTTCAATATCTCAACTTCATACGCGACTTGTTATGATAAGATCGCATTATCTTTTATTTTTCCTTCTCGTGACTCTGACTCCATTTCGGTTTGCCCGCGCTTGCAGGGCCGGGGCAACTTCGTGGGATGTATCCGTAGGTGTGACCTATCAGGTCCTTCCCAGCTTCCCCATGGAGGCTTGGCGTCAATCCCCGCGAGTATTGTGACTAATTACGTAATAAGTTCACCCCTGTTGTGTGGGGAAAAGGGACATCGGCAAACAGTCGGAGGTGCGAGGTCCTGGGCACCGCAAATTCCCCATCACAGTTGATTCCCAGGGCCGATGTTCTGTCGACGGACCACCTACTCTGCTTGAGTCATCCATTGGTTGGCATACCCTTCATTTGTGTCAATACCTGGTGTTAGGAGAAAGACGGCCGGGCCATGAGTTCGGCTTCATCTACAGGTGCGCGGGAAGCTTCGAACGCGAGGGAATCCCTCGAGCCGCCTCCAACGACCGCCCAAACCCGACCGCAAGCTTGCGAGAGATGCTGGAAGAGAAAGCAAAAGGTATATGGCCCCCGTGTCGGCACTTGACCATTAAAAGCTAGCATTAGCTGACACTAATCAGTGTGATCGCCGTCTGCCGGCATGCAACTCATGTAGCGTGCTAGGGGTAGAATGCATCCCACGAAATCAAGATTTCAACACCATATCCGAGCTCTCGCATACTTCTGTTGTTGGGTATCACATTCTGTTCCCCTATCTACTAACATGTCTGCTAACAGACCTCAGCTACGTAGCATCATTGAAGAGGCGGGTTGCTGATCTTGAAGAAGAATCTTTTTCGAGAAAACGCTCGCGCACATACAGTTGTCGAGCTGATTCAACTCTGGACCAGTCTTCTGATCATGATAATAGCGCAAGATCTCGGGATGCTGCATCGGTCCTGTCGAGTCAGGCCATGCATCCTGCTGGCAGCAATGGACATGACAACGACGATTCATCAGTGAGGGCCACTATGGGAGCAATCGGCTTCTTATCACGCAGCGCTATGGCCGAACCTCGAGATAATTCGGATGATCTACCAAGAAAGTTCTCTTTGGCCGAAGTGATCTCCGGGGCGCTGGCTATCGATGGGCGCGACCCGTCCATGGCTATTCCAGCACCCCAATCGCCTGGTATTACCAACCACCTCGCTTCCGTGAGCCAAGTTTCAACGCTTGAACATGTTCGGAAGTTTCTCGAATGGTCCGCCCTGTTGCCCTATCTTGACGAGGACATATTTCTCCGGCAATGTGAAAGTATAATGGCTAGCAGAGCGCAACCTCAACCTGCACAGAACTCCCAATCATTGCATAATTTCAATGTTCACATGGCCTGCGCCATTGGAATTCTACTCTCTCCAAGTTCGACTCATCTCTCACTACTTAGTGCAGGCCTTCATTCTACGGCAATCAAAGAGTTACCCTCCGTCCTGCGTACGGAAATGGCCCTCGAGCACATACACTGCATGATAATGCTTCTTATCTACTCTTTGTTCAACTCCTCTGGTGGTTCTGCCTGGCATCTTCTGGGTCTGGCAGTGAAGACGTGCATCTCCCTTGGCCTTCACCGGGAGCCAGATGCCCACTCCAACTTGACGATATCAGAGGCCACCAGACGGCGATGGCTATTCTGGACTGTTTACTACTTTGACCGGTATGGAACTTTGCTTGTGATTCACATTCTGTTCTGGGACTAAGCTTAGCTCTAGGATGATTAGTCTTGTGATGGACCGCCCCGTTAGTATTCAGGATGACGACATCTCAGTTCGGGTGAGTAGAGCACCTAAACAGCAAAATGCAATGCCAGTCGTTCTGAAGCTGACAAAAACAATACAGCTCCCAATTGAAGATGCCCATGTGCCCGGATCAGCGGATATATCGTCTAAGAGGTTGCCTATCAGTCGCTACCTCATACTGTATTCACAATTAATCTCGAGCATCCGAGCAGGAAGAAAGGACGATGTTCTGCTCACTTATAGCAACATTGTCCATTGGAGAGACCTGCCTCCCAAGGGGGATCGTCATTCGTCATCTAATCAGCAGCTTTCGGACCTTTTTCATCAATTGTCTTGTCGAGCTTTGGTACATCTCACCTCGCCAACGCCTCCAACACATGAGAGTATCGGTCCATTGCTTGGCAGCACTCAAGATCTTGATTTGGACACTATCAATACATCTCGGCAATTTGTCAATCGATGTTACGACCTATTTACCCAAGGCACTTTCATTTGCAATTTCATTGATGCATACGACGTCTTTCAAGCTGCCGTTACTTTCGCCTGTCTCAACTGGCGTATTGGCCGGGAGAATTCTGCAGGGCGTCGACTCGCTGAAGTGACGGAAATAATCAACAAGTCCTCGACGCTTGTAACGATTGCGGCATCAAGATTCCCTGCACTTGCAGCTTTTCAGCGGGTCTTGCTAGGTCTCTCCACGCGTATGATGGATAGTCACAACGCGATATCCAGTGTGAGACATCTATTGCTCTCTTCAGTCCCTTGTCAATCACCCGTCTGCTAACATGTCTGAAGACCAACTCTTGGGTGAACTTCCCGCATATTATTCCACGTCGATCTCAACAACTCATTCGATGCACATTTTCTTAATCAGGGGAAACGCCCTGTACTGATGCCCCCTCAGGCTTTTCTATCCCCCGGCTGCAAATTGGAGTTTGTATCGCCCACGTTGCCAATAAGTTTTGGTTAACTGAAAGCTGGGTGAGTTGAGCAAAAGGCCAGGTCCCCCAAGCCTCTCTTTCCGCCAGTCAACCCTAATCCATCGAGATGCCCGGGCGGAAAATCTATTCAACATACACCAAACTCCCACAATATACTTTCCCTCGCTCCTCTGAATTCAAGGATTTGGTCTCTCTCTCATTGAAAAGCCGAAGCCTGAACACATGTTCCTGCCTGTCGGTTTCCCATCGTGGCACGAGGATGATTGATGAACGAGCAGACTCTCTAGGGTTGCTTTAACCGGAGTGATTTTCTTTGGCCAGTTTCAAGTATCTGAGGACGTTGTAGTGATGCATCTTCCTCCTAGATCAAGATAACAGTTTGTGGGCAGCAGTGTCACATAGTGGAGGCCAGCTTCAAAAGGTGGGTGTGTATCAATACAGATGTCGGTGAGCAAACATCAGGCCATGGGGGTCAATTTTCGGCCATTGAATTGAGTAGTTCCCCATTGGCAGTCTTGGCGTGACATTTACCTCAAGCGCTTACCCACTTACGGTATTGGTTGCCAATGCGGACCAAGTCCGAGCAGAGTCTCTGCCTTCCGGAGGCCTTCCGATAGTGGCAGTAGCTGACCCCAGATAACCCGCAACAAATACATGATCGTTGGATCCGCGGGGAAACGGGGTCTCAATGCGGGGAAACTGGAGCTTTGTGGCTGTAAAATCGACCATCATGCTTTTCCGAATTGAGCTCGTGGTCACCTCGTGGTCAGGTCGTTCAAAGTCTCAGTCATGACAACCTGAAGTACAAAAGGGTCTCGACCGTTTCAAAGAGTGCCTTTTCCAAACGTTTCCTACTTCCTACCTCATTCCCAATTCATCTTACTTCAACTCACAGACATACCTCGGAAAACATGACGCTTTCTCGTAACTCGACACGCGGCTCAGTCGATGTCAAGGTTGGGATCGAGTGGGAAGAAAATGCCCCAGCCCGCGACCCTCTACTGGAGCGGTACGACCTCATCAGGAATAAGACCCCTGAAGAACTCAAAGCACTCGACAAAGCCGTTCGAAAACGTCTTGATTGGAAATTCCTACCCATGGTTTGTGCCATGCTCATGATGAAGTGAGTTTCGGACCCCGGGTCTGCTCCATCTCAAGCCTATTTGTCGACAGAGAAGTCATTACTAACCATGTCAAGTTACTTGGACCGGATCAACGTATCGAATGCGCGACTAGCCGGCATGCAAGATGATCTTCACATGCCCGACACCATGTGGTCCGCCGGTATTTCCCTTTTTTACGTCGGATACATCATCTCGCAGGTTCCCGCAAATGTCATCATTGCGAAAGGCAAGCCGCGAATCTTGCTTCCATGCTGTATGCTCGGGTGGTCTGTCACCACCTTATGTATGCCTGCTGTCACTGCCGGCTGGGGATTCCTCTTGTGTCGCTTTGTCGTAGGGCTAACAGAGGGTCCGTTTGTCCCAGCTGTTTCTCTCATGACGTCCTCATGGTACACGAAGCACGAGTCTCCCCTCCGTATGGGAATTTGGCACGCTGGAAACACCATTTCGCAGGCTATTTCGGGCCTTCTGGCTGCCGGTATCCTCCAGAATATGGACGACATAGCTGGAATGTCAGCATGGCAATGGTTTCTGCTACTTGAAGGTCAGTTGCTGTGCATATGGTGATGTTGTCTTTTCTGACACCGGTCCAGGTATTGTTAGTATCACGATTGGTCTAGTCAGCTTCTGGTTTATCCCCAACTTTCCCGAGTCAACTGGCACCTATTTCCTCACTGCTGAGGAGTCACAAATGGCTCAATACAGACAAACTGTGTCGGCTGGCGGTCGAGCTGAAGATGACGAGGGAGATTACTGGGGAGGGGTGTGGATGGCACTCAAAGACCCGTTCACGTACCTTTTCTCTGCTATCCACTTTTTTCTCATCATTGCGCAGTCTTACAAAGACTTCTTCCCTTCGGTCGGTTATATCTATCCATACTTATAAAACCTTGGCTTGCACGTTTACTTACATGTTCTTTAGATTCTCGCCACTCTTGGGTTTGGGGACACCACCACGTATCTCATTCAAGCGCCGCCTCCAATCATTGCCTTTCTTGTAACTCTGGCAGTTTCCTGGTCATCTGGGAGAATGCTTGAGCATGGCTACCACATCATAGTGCCAATTCTGTTGACATTGGTTGCATGTGTTGTAATGATCACAACGTTGAACGTTGGGGCCAGATATTTCTGCATGATCTTGTTGGTCACTGGCCCATTTGTCGGCCTTAATGTAAGTGTTACGGACTGTTCCCTGCGCGTTTAAGTGTCTGTTACTGACCACAATAGCTTCAAATATCTTGGGAAACAACTGTCGTGCCACGACCACGGACCAAGAGGGCTGCTCTGATCGCTATTGCCAACTGTGTCTCGTCTGTCTCTCACTGGTTCACCCCGTACTTTTTCCTTCGAAACCAGGAGCCATGTTATCAGACAGGAGGCGGCGCAATCATTGTTGGGTGTGGTTTGACAGTAATCTTTGTCCTCGTTACTAAGTGGTACTGTCGGAAGAAGAACAAAGAGTTGGATGAGCATGAAAGAGTCTCCGGCGAATCCAATGGATGGAGGTTTGCATCTTGAGAATTGTCTGAGGCTGTAAAATTGTTATTACTCTCAATCTATTCGTACTGAACTGCCATGCCAAGACTACTATACCTACACATGTCCCCTAGATCAAGACCTACTGTTTCAAAATACGTCATCCCTCTCCTCATCCAGTTCCAGTGGCTAGTATCTTGGATTGGTTCGCGCATATAGACTTCGGTGCCGGTATACCTTAGCTGAGCTGAGATGACGGATAGGACATTTCATTCCATTGATTTTGATTCTGGGGAAGAACAGCACGCTACTAGTGAACTAGAACGACATTCCTTCCACCAATGGTTCTTCCTTGGGAAATTCACCCAGAAATCAAATTGCAATCGAAGCCCTATTCTGAAGTTGACCTAAATTTAAGAAACTTTTGTTCTGGTGTTTCCTACTGGATACGTGTGGTAATATGCGGCGGGTCTGGATTCGATCAACTGACAATTGTCCATGGATGGGCACACGGGCGAATAAGGTGGAATTTTGTGGAAAGGTCTGCGTATTTAAACAACCTTCCCAAGAGATATCAAGTCTTGAGGTTCTACAAGGTGTATTGATATAGCGGGCTCTTTTCCCCCATTCCGTCTAGTTGTTCTTGAGAGTACCTCTCCCTGACTTCGTGCTGAGACAACTTGGACTTCTTGTTGTTCAATCTACACAGTAGAAATTCCAAAAGAACAGCGGATACTAGACCTAGACAGATAATACCGAGTGAAGTGCCATATCCTGTGGGATACTTCGGGCCCTCCTTGTCCAGGAAGACATTGGTTCCAATGAGGCCTAATACTCATTAGCAAATGCAGGATGAATCCAGCGAGCGATTGCGGACTTTCACTTACTGCCCAAATTACCAGCGGCAAGCAGCCAAGCTATACCAATGGACCGTTTCCACGAGAGAGCGAGGTTATTTCCTATCCAGGCAGTTATGCCATGCAGAAGCGGATATATGCCGATCTGTGCCAAGATGACACTGACATACATGGCTGGGACATTATTGGCTACATCCGAAGAGAAGTGAAACAAGATTCCAAGTGCCACTGCTAAGATAGTCATCGGTCCAATGATGAAAGGCATCCGCCAAGAGAATCGGTCTGAAAATCTGCCCGTGAGCCATGCCGATATGCCACCGCAGAAATACGGTGGAATCGTCAACAGCTGCGCTTTTTCCGTAGAAAAGCCAAGCTGCTTAATAATTTGAGGCATTGTGAATTTGAACGCGGCGTTCGGCACAGAGTTAGCCCAAGCAAGAAGGATGCCAAGTCCTATCTTCCAGTCGACCAGAGTGTCCAAAAGTAGTCGCCAAGAGAGCTTGTCACCTTCCTGGGTACCAGATCGAACGCCAGACAGACGAAGACGTACATCGATGAATCTTTTATCGTCCTCGTTAAGCCATTTCGCCTTCTCTGGGGTGTCGAGAATAAGGAAGGGCATTGCGGCACCTGCAGCGATCGTCACTGCACCTTCAAGGAGGAATATCCACCTCCAGCCCTCAATGCCGCGCACACCATCCATTCTGGCTATTGCAAAGGCTAGAAGTCCGCTCAACGCACCCGAAAATGCCGATGCAGTATAGAAGATGGCGAGACGCTGTTGCAGCTCGTGTCGGGGATACCACGTGCTCACAATGTATACAGCGCCTGGGAAGAAACCTGCCTATTCGCCATGAACTTCTATCAGCACTTTCTCATCTCGGCATAGCATCTAGAAAGGGACTAACCCACCTCGCAAAGACCAAGACAGACCCGGCAGATCACCATCCCTCGAAAGTCTTTCACAACTCCCATGAGAGTCATTACAGTTCCCCATGAAAGAACGAGGGCGGATAGCCACATGCTGGGACGGACCTTTTTGAGTATGATATTCGAAGGAATTTCTAGTCAAGGAAATTGATTAGCTTCAATGGGTACTGGGTCTATCACTTAATAATGCATGCAGCCCACCAAAGATGATGTATGGAACGAAGAAAATGGTGCTCGCGACATTGTATTGGTTGCCTGTTAGCCCTAGATCTTTATCCATGCCCTCAATCTTCGCATTGCCGATGTTTCCTCGGTCAATATGAGAGAGAAGGTATAGAATACCCATGATTGGAATCAAGCGATAATCGATCTAGGTGGTACCCTTCTTAGTAACACAAACAAGTCAAAAGTCTTTGCGCACTTGATGTGGCAAACGGCGAGTCGTGAATCCAGCTCAACTGACCTTTTTGACAATCTTTCTGCCTTTCTTTCCCTCATAGATTCTCATAAGTTCCCTATCCTCTGGCGACAGACTTGCATATGGGTCAGAGCTTGAACCTAACTCTAGGTGTTTGACGTCCATTTTGGCCATTTCACGGTTGCGGATTTCCGATTGTTGTGCCATGTTTTCAAATAGGAAAAATCAAAAGGCGTAAATCGCATGGAGGATCCGAATTTGATGAGCTCGATTCCGGGGGGAAGGGGGCATTTCACATTTTTAAAACTGGATATCCCTTGTCACGAGTTGGTGAGCCGGGCGGGATCCTTGTTGTTGCTCGTTCGAATCTGCTGACCCTCAGCTTGTACCAAGATCATGCATCCTTTCCCTTTTGATCCTCCCCGCATTCTATGTCAGACAAGCGGGAGAGGGCGCCGATAATTCCTTCGTCTGTGAATCGAAACATCCAGCCCGCTGACTAGACTTGGTTTAGCCATTCCCGGCAGGCTCGATTCAGGTGTTCGGCTAGAATTCCGTCGGGGCCTTTCCGACGGCGGGGCGACTCCGGTGTCACGCTGGAAAGCTTCGGGGCGAGTCCAGATCCACCAAAGACCACCTTCTACAGGCGACTGGTACACACAAATGGTGAAAAAACGCACGTTGTCAGCCGAGGGGGCTAAGTATTCCTCCATATGTCGATGCTGGGTGCTTCTCGCTGTATTGTATTAAGTTGGGCGAGAGACGTTGTGCTGAACCCCTGCAGAGTTGTTCCAGCACACCGAGTGTAACACGTCTATGCCTTACGAGTGCAATCTCTTCACCTGTCAGTTTCTTTGGGGCAACTTTCAACGGCCAGCTTCAAAATGGCGACGATTGATTTTCCACCGTTTAAAGATCTTCCTCTTGATAAGAATGGACCACGCGGCAATGCGTGGGGTCGTTGGGGCCCCGACGATCAGCTAGGCACTCTCAATCTACTCACAGACGACATTGTCGCCAGTGCAGCCAAGGAAAACATCATTACCGGCCAAAGGATTTCTCTGAAGTACGTCACAGGCATAACACCATTGGTTATTTGCTGAGTTAAGTGGGTTTGAAGCTGGTCTATGACTGGCGCCTCGTACCCCAAGTTTTCCCGGAAGCTTCTCGAGTTGCACAGCATTAATAAGGCACCCCTTAAGCATGCTCACGATGACGAAGTATGTGTCAAACGGGTTTCCCGAATTAGAGTATTTGATCAATGAGTCGAGCTGATGGGATCTTTCAGTGGAGCTTCAATTCCCAGTGCAGCTCCCAGTGGGACGGCTTTAGGCATTACGCATACCAAGAACAAGGGGTTAGTTCTGTGCATCTTCACAGGTGCCATCAATACATCAAATGGATTGATGATTGACGCGTTCAATCTAGCTTTACTACATGGGACGCACCGCCGCTGACTTTGCGGGCTCTCCCGTACCAAATGGCATACAACGTGAGTTTGCCATTACTTACCGCAGCCACTAACAGATATTAAATTTTGGTCAGACGTTTCTCACAAGGGCATTGCCGGCCGAGCTGTCTTCATTGACTGGTACGCTTGGGCGCAAAAGCAAGAGGTTGTCGTCGATGCCTTTTCATCCCATAAAGTTCCTTTCAACAAATTAATGGAGGCAATGACCGCCCAGGGTCTCAGAAAAGACGTCTTACGACCAGGAGATATTGTAGTCCTTCGTTTTGGGTACCTCGCCCAGTATAAGTCGATGACACTCAAGCGGCGACAGGAACTCAATAAGCTCTACAAAACATATAAGCCTAATAACATAGGCGTCAAGCCATCCATTAAACTCCTCAAGTTCCTCTAGAACAACCAAATCGCGGCCATCTGTGGAGATACACGATCTCTTGAAGTCTGGCCATGCAAGGACACGGAGTGGCATCTGCACAAATAGCTGCTTACCAGATAGGGAATGCCGATAGGAGAGTTATTCTACTTAGAAGATCTCTCCCACCTCTGCTCGTCAATCCACCAATATGTATTCTTTCTGTCGAGCTCATCGATAAATATAAGGTCTTCTTTGTCCGTTCTCAAGGGTCTAGATAATTATTTATCTAACCGTCCCCACTACACTCCATTGCGTTAACAGCGTCCGCCCCCCTTTTTTTTCCCCGCTTATGTAAAAACATGAAAAAAAGCTAATTTTACGCTATAACGCGTATTTCTCTATATCGCATGTAAAACGCGTTAAAGTTATTACTAATACCTTAATTACTATTAATTACTATAGTCCTAGTAGTATTTAAATATATAACTATATAATAGAGATATAAAGTATATATTTTATATTTCTATAGTAGTTAATCTACTTATTAAAGTATTACTAACTTAACTAGTTACTTTATCTCTATACTATTTAACTAATAAAAAGTCTATTTTTATTATAAAAGATTAAGATAATATTTACTAAAAAATAGAAAAAGAGATTTACTATATAACTTTATATATCTATTTAGTATATAGTTTATATAGCTCTAAGTAATATATAAGTATATTAAGAAACTTAATATAGTTCTTTAGAATAAATACTTTAATAGTTAATAAGATTAATAAATCTCCTAATAGCTTAGCTTATTTATAATATTAAGTAAAAGTTTACTACTATATAGATTATACTTTATTATTTATAGTTTACTACTAATTAGTATATATCTATAGTTTATTATATTAAATATATTAAGAAAGATACTAAGTAATAATAATAATATAATAGCGCCTAAAATATTAAATCTATAGCTATTAATAATTATAATAATACTACTATTTAAAGACTAAAAGACCTATAAACTAATAAGTATTATTAACTATACTAAATAAATAATTTAATAATATAGATTATAATATAATATCACTAGTAAAATATAAAAATATAAGAGGTACTATTAGAGTTAATAAAAGATAGAAATATAGTATTATATAGAGCTTCTTAAACTACTATAGTATTATAGTAATCTATCTCTTAAAGAGATATAAGATTTCCTATATAAAGCTTTTAAGATTTAAATTAATTATTTTATAATTAGTTAATAATTAAACTTAGCTAGCTAAATAAATAAGAAGTCTAAGATTATTACTACTTAGTAAAATAATAACTTATAATATAAGTACTTATACTATATATAATAATATTACCCTAACTAGCTAATATTTATTAATAAATCTAATATTAATAAGAATACTAAGATATAGAGGACTAAATAAGTACTAAAAAAGCTTATTACGTTTTAAACTATAGAGATTAATTAGTTTTAAAACTCTTATATATAAATCCTACTAGCCTTTATATTAAGTAGTATCTTATACTTAACTATATACTATAGTATAATTAATAGTAATAAGTTCTTTTATTAGTTATAAAAATACTTTATCCTAAAGTGTAAGCGTTTTCTAAAGCTAAACTCTATTATTATTATAAATAACCTCTCTTATTATTATATACCTTAAATTAAGATATTATATTAAATATTAAATATCTATTTTAAGTTTCTACCTCTATATTCACTAAACTTTAACTTTATTAAAGAGTATTTTAGTAATTTAAAGTAATATATTAAGAAGATATATTTAAAATAGAATAATAATAAGAATAATACTTAGGATTTTATAGAATATCTATATAACTATACTATAGAGATTAAGTATTATCTACCCTAGATTAAGAGCTATTTCTACTATTTATTTATTAACTTTAATAGGATAGAGTATATATTTAATAATATTAAACTATAAAAAAGAGGATAAGCTATAAGTATTAAATATTAATAAGTAATCTAAATTTTTATTATATATTTATATATAATAAATCTTAATTATATTATTATATAATAGTTAATTATTAAATCTATAATTATAGCTAATAAGATTACTAAAAGGTTAGCTATAAGCGCACTAGAATATAAAAAATATACTATTATCTATTATTTTTATTAGTAGCTATATATATATATTAATTTTACCTATATAACAGCTAAAATATATTATTAATACTTATAATAATAATTTATAATAATAATATATTATTATAATTAGAGACTTTAACTATAGTTAGAGACTTTAACTACTTCTAACTAATATTAAGATAGACTGAAGTATATTATTTATAGATCTAAAATAATAGTAATTCTATTACTTTTATATATATAGAGCAGTAGTATTAAATTTATAGCTATAAGTAGACTTTTCTATAGTTAAATATATTATATAAAAAATTATATATATAATTAAACTTTATACTACTCTTACTATATTACTCTTTTTTATTATCCTCTTCTAAATAATATATCTCTATTAATAATATATTACTTAAGATTTCAATCTAATTATCCTTATCACTTTACTTAACTTCATCTTATTTAATCTATAACTATATAGATAATATCTATAATACTAATAGTAGTAATAATAAAATAAAACTAAAGAGTTTTAAAACGCTTATAAAGTTAGCTATATTTAATAATAAATAGCTCTATATATACTTATTATATTAACTAACTTTAACTAGTATACTATAAATCTCTTACTTAATAGATTAATATAGCACTAAAATGTTAATATATTAAGATAACCTTAACTCACTTAAAACTAATACTATAGAGTTTTTAATTAGCGCTACTATTATCCCTCTTAGTAATTTAATATATATTCTTATATAAATATCTCCCTCTAACTCTTAATAGTTTAAATAAAGTTTAAAGTAAAATACTATATTAGAGAAAGTATTAAACTACTTTCTATAATAAGTACTATTATCTATAAAAGATTTAATTAAGTTCTTAATATCTTTAGTAAAATATTAAATAAAACCCTATTTAGTAAACTAAATATCTAATAACTTATAAATTACTTATAAACTACTATCTATTAATTATAGTTTCTATAACTTCTTTCTAAACTCTTTATTAACGTTATATCACTTACTATAGATAGATATAAACTACTTAATAAAGCTAGCTACTTAATCTAAAGCTTTTTAAGGTAAATCTAATACTACTAATAAAGATAAATAAATTAAGAGTATAATACTTAGTTAATAAATACTTAGAATATTTAATAGCAGAAAAGTTAGTAATAAATACTATAAAATATTTATATATAGCTAATATAGTAGTAGTAGCACTACTAGTAGTAATAGCTATATATATAGGTTAAGATATTAAAGATAATAATCTAACGCCCCTATATTACTATATATATTAATAATAGTATTACTATTAGTATTAGTTAAGCTAGATTTTAACCTTAATAATAGAAGTATAGCATTTTTAGCCTTCTCTTCTATTATTACTATTATCTATTAATTATTATTAACCTTAATAATATTCTTATTTCTCTTACTCTAGTATTTTTAATCCTCTATAAACTAATTATAAAAAATCTCACTAAGTAGTTCTTTAAGTAGTTCTATATTATTAATACTAGCTTATTTAGTTATAATAGCTTTTACTTACTTCTCTATATAGTAAGATTTAATCTTATAATACTTTTAGCTTAATATATAGTATTAATTAAACTTCTTATTACTTAAATTATTCTTATATTTTTAGTACTTTAAGTAGATATATATATAGAGAAGTTATCTATATATTCCCTCTTTCTAATACTTAATATTTATAGGATTATTAGCTTTATAATTAATTACCTCTTATATACTAGCTAAAACACCTATTTAGCTACCTTTTTAAGACGTTTATATATTAGTTATTATACTATTAGAGATTAATATAGCGCTATATTACTATTTAATAGTAAAGTAAACTTTACTCCTCTTTTTAGCTTATTTAAGAGAGGGGATAATATTAACTTATAGAATATTTAGCTAAGTAACCTTTTTAGTAGATAGATAGACCTAAATAAAAATTAATATTAGTTTAGATATATTAGTAAGCTTCCTCTAAGTAATAATAATAGTAATATTAACTTTCTTTATAATATATAAATAAACTACTTCTACTTTAAGTTAGATATTACTATCTACCTCTTAGTCTCTACTATTTATATTTAATATAAGAGTAATACTAAATTTATTATATATAATACTCTTAATAGTTAAATTAAAAATAAATAAACTATTACCCTTAAATATTAAACTATAGGTAACTTAGATTTATAGTAGAATTAGTTCCTTATTACTTATATTATCCTCCTCTTTAAATATATTATAGAATAATATAAATATATTATTAACGCTATAGTAAGAAGCTATAAGTATATTATCTATAAATTAAGTAGTTTAATAAGGGGTTAAGTTAACTAAAATTAAGTCTAATTAAAATAGTAATATTAATAAAAGTAGAGTACTTTAGAGCTAGATTATATATAATAGATCTTTCTTTTACTTCTTCTATATTATTATTACTTTTTAGTAAGAAAATGCTTTTAGAGCTCTTTATAATAATAGAGGAGCTATAAATATATACTTTTTTCATAATATAAACTTAGCTACTACTAAATTATTAATCTTAAGTTTAACTTTAGTAATAATAACCTCCTTAGTAGCCTCTTTAGTAATAGTAGCTTAATAAACCCTCTTAGTAAGTATAATAATCCTAATTAATAGTAAAGTAGAGCGTTAAAGAGGATCTCTAGTAATATCCTATATTAGTTATTATATATATTATTATTTCTATATACTATTAGTAATAAGTAATATATAATACTTAGAAAAGTTATTATTTACTTACTAAACTATATAGTAGCGTTTAAGAGGTATTATAATACCCTTAAATAATAAGATTTAATAGAAATAGATTAATTAAAACTATTAGAATAAGTTAATTACTATACTATAAATATCTATATAGCGTTAGGCAAATTTTTATATATATATAGGGATTATATATGTGTAATTTTGGTAAAAAGGGGGGGTGGATGCTGTTAACGTAACAGAGTGTAGGTTCCTAGAGCAGTGGCCAGCCCACCAAACGCTTTAGCCTTCTTTTGATATCGCTAAATCGAAATGATGGGCTCATTTGATAAGGGCTCAAACATGCATTTCTCTTCAGGCCATGTCTGTCTTCTTGCGTATTTGTCAATTTCGTATCAGTGTTGCACTCCAGATAGGAAGAGGACATCGTAGTAAAGCAGTACTCTCTATTGGTCGGAAAGGGTCAGTCGAACGGGTGGACCTGCAAATTCGGCAACAAATTAAGCATAATCTAGAAGGTGACTTCCAGGCTCTCTCGTATTCGGTGGGCCCTCGTGTGATTTTACTCTATCCCACCGGTTCTTTTTGATGACGAAGAAGGCAGGTTGCATTGGCGATCTTGGCGATGCTGACGGACTGGGTACGGTTTAAAAGTCTGGATGGCGCGTTCGACAAGAAACACGATTTTGTTTTGCTCCAGAAAGTTTCTCCAAGCTTTCGATCCCATTAGATAAGACCTCGAAATGGCGAGATCATCTCTTCTAATGGTGGGCCTCTTGGTTTCAGCATCGGAATCATATGTTTGGCCTTCCAAGTACGACCATTTGGAGGACATTCTAGCCATGCATTCGGGCTACATCCGATTTGGCTTCTCTGACTGTTTGTGTTCATCTTCAACTCACTTCACGTCTATTTCATTTCATCTTAGGGTCTGACGAATAGAAATCGCAGTGGTCACGCCTTGTAGCCATGGCTCAGGTATGCCTGGGGTCCAGAATTCGGCCGAGTGGATACGTAGTGCATTCCACGACATGTCTACGTTCGACGCGGCAACTGGCACTGGTGGGCTTGATGCATCACTCATGTTCGAGCTTGAGCGGCCTGAGAACATCGGCTCTGCTTTCAACAACACGTTTGCAGCAATGTGGGATTTTCTCACGCCTAGATCCTCAGTCTCTGATCTTCTAGCTCTCAGCGTCGTGGCTGCAGCTGCGGCGTGTGACGGGCCGAAAATTCCTTTCCGAGCCGGTCGTATCGACGCAACTGAAGCAGGACCTGCCGGGGTTCCCAAGCCGGAAGATGACCTTGAAAGTACGCGCCAAACATTTAAGAGGGCGGGCTTCAACGATGGTAAGACCACAGCCTTTGGAAAGGCCCATATCAGTGTGCGCCCTAACAAGACGTATGCAGAGGACATGATTACAATGGTAGCATGCGGTCACAGCTTGGGCAACATACATAGTGTCGACTTCCCAGAAATGGTAGCCGGCGAGACTTCCGAAGAGAACATTGCTCATTTCGATACTTCTCCGACCAACTTCGACAACGCAGTTGTGACTGAGTATCTTGAAAACGAGACAGCTAACCCTCTGGTGGTCGGGGCGAACGACACAATGAACTCGGACAAGCGCATCTTTGGTTCCGACGGTAACGCTACCATGTCTTCTCTCTCGGATCCTGTCACATTCAAGTCAAAGTGCACCCGAATCTTCGAGCGCATGATCGATACCGTTCCCGCGTCAGTGATATTGACAGAGCCACTAGATATTGTCGATGTCAAACCCTACGTGGATCCTCCTCGGCTGCAATCGGACGGCAGCCTGCTGTTTGAAGGGCGCATTAGAGTCCGTAATAATGCGGAAACGGGTATCAACGGTGATGACCTGGAAGTATCATTGGATTACCTGGATCGCCAAGGGTCCCGAGACGCAGATATGATTGTGGCCAGCCGCGCCCGCAGCAGGGGTGGCCAGTCGTATGGCTTCTGGGGCAACACGTTCACCTGGTTCGAATTTTCCCGATCAATCAACGCCAGCACTGGAATCAGCAATTTCAACATTCTGCTCAAGACACTTTCTACCGGTACAACATTCATTCTTGACAATTCAAACACTGGTGGATATCCTGTGGATTCCGACTTGCTGTACCAACAAACAGATTCATGCGTCACGGGAACCGGTACGACTCGAGACTTGTCTCTGGTTATAGCTCTGCGCAAAGAGTTAGCTGGTGGAAGCACCCAACCTCTTCTGCACCTTGCCCATCGCGTCGCTCGACCAGGTGTCTTGCTCCCAAGGTTGGAAGTGGAAAGCGTGCCGTTCCTTTCAGTTCCAGGCTTGGAAAAAAGTGGTTTTCAATATTTTCGTGCCAATGCCACCCTTGACGCAAGCGGGTGGAGCACGACATTTGATATTACGATGGAAGATTCATCAGCGGGCGGTAAACATGAACTGGGTCTCTTGAAGACAAGTGTTCTGTCAGGGACTTGCACCGTTTAGATGTACAAATAAAACAAGTGATAGGCCAATCTCGACGCGATCATTTTCCCATATTACCCACCAAATACGTTCATAAATACCAACACATTTGCCATTCTTCGGTCCTCTCGCAACTAGGTTCACAGCTGTTGTCATGGTCTTCATACGGATCCATGTTGAGAATGTCTCAGTTCCAACAACGCATGCTCGGCGCTCTACTTCGCCCCTCGAGCGCGAAGTCTCCTAGTGTGTTTCCTTCCACAAAACTCCTGCTTTAACACCGCAACAAGAATTGCCGACCTTCGTCATGCCCGGGTTTGGAAATGTGATATGCATGTCTGAAGCTGAAATCGCGTCGATACTGACGGTAGGTAGGTAAAACGCTGTAAGAGCGGTCGTTTAGGTCATTCCCCGGTGTGTGACTTCTGGAATTGAAATTGACTAGAAACCTAAAGAAGCAATAAAACTGATTCAATGACATCACACTCCGGTCCAAACCTCAACAGGCTCTCTTAGCACGGATTTTGGCCCGCCGGTTTCAATTGTCGCCCTCTGACCTCCGCAGAAACTTGCCAGTATCGGGGTTTCTCATCTCTACGACGCGCCCTTCACTTGACAGCGCTCTCCACTTAGCCTATGACCGATGCACCCCACAACTTGACTTCTCTCTGGCGAAGACCGAAAGCGTTTGGAGGATTGATTCGCACCGTTAGCTTTCTTGTCCAAACTTTCCAGAGATCCCGTTTCATTCAAATCACCCTCTTTTAGTTGTCGTTTGGCATTACACGGAGGATCATAATGGCCAAAGCACCCCTTCGATGCCTATCGTTGATCATCTCCCCTTATCATGTCGGCCTTCGCGACCAAGGACCTGGAGCAGGCCCTGCCTTTCTCAAGGCATGCGGCTTATCCAAAAGCCTCCGCAACCTTGGCCTACCGTTGCGTGAGATATACGTGGAGCCGGTAGACGAATTTGAAGGAGAAATTGGCCGCAGCTTCGAGTTTGTCCGACACACAGCAAAACTTGTCGCACAAGAGCGGCGGCGGAACGCGTTTCCCATCGTTCTCGCTGGAAATTGCACTTCTGCTGTCGGGGTGGCCGCCGGGCTGCATACAGCGCAAGACTTTGGAGACGCAGAACTTGGGTGCGTGTGGTTCGATGCGCATGATGATTTCAACACGCCAGATACTGTCACGAGCGGCTATTTCGACTCGATGCCCATTGCCATGCTAGCGGGACAATGCTGGAAAGCAATGCTGGAGACTGTTCCCGGGCATCGCTCTATCAATTTGGAGCGTCTTGTGCACGTGGGAATGAGAGATGTGAACCACTTGGAGCGAGCACGGGTAGGAGAGGCTGGCTTCGACGTGATCTGGGGCGATACTGAGAAGAAAGTCGACTTCAAAGCAGGACTCAGCACAGTGCTGCAACGAAAGCAACTTCGTCCCACAATGGTGCATTTCGATGTCGACTCTTTGGACGTCTCTATCGGGAAAGCCAATCGGTTTGCAGCGCCTGGTGGCCTGTTGGAGCCGGACATTGTCGGCTGCTTCAGAGAGATCTCCACGGCCACTGAGCCTGTCTCTTTGACTGTGGCATCATTCGACCCGACATTTGAAGGTGCTCGCAATCTTGCAGCAGTGGCTATCAAATCAGTCACAGGCTTTGTACAGTCGCTCATGGGCTCAGGTGTACTTTACAAGCCATAGCATCTCACGAAAACAATAGTTTCCAGTGATGTTGGCATTGCTGCATCGGAAATTCTATTCCATTCCCCAAACCCCTAGGAATACGAATATCAAATCAGTACTTGAAACAAGCTATGATTCTGCGCTAGAGTAGCTTCAAGCACTCTCATCGGTTACTAGGTAGGAATTACAGTCATGTTACACTCAGTGCATGCATCTATCGATCTCGTCCTGCGGCCCCAATTGCGTTGTCAAGGTATTTCCAGGCACGTTCGACCTCCTCCGGAATATCCACATGTACGAGAAATCCTTTGCCATTGGGACCATAACCATTTACATCATCCCTGAGACGAGGCACCTCCCCCATCAGTAAGTCCACGAAACGTCCCATGTCCCATAGGCCATCTGAGGTAATGCCACGGCTTTGTTGCCCGGAGTACTGGAGCAGTGCTAGTAGATCTTGTTTTCCCTCCTCATTCACGCCAGATTTGACGTGAACCTTTGGCGTGAATGTTGGCCAGCTGGTGATGTGAGGTGTAGATCTGTGGTTCATGGCATACGTCTTCTCAAACGTTGCAACGGTCCTCTTTGACATAGTGGGATCCTGTACAACTATGATCGACCGCGGTGAGGTAATTCCACAGGCCTCAAGAACTTGCTTAGACTCGGATGCGTTTGCACCACAGTTTGTGGAACGATCTTCAACTACGACAACAAACTTATCTCGGTCATTACTGAGCACCATGGCAGCCTCCGGACCGGCTTCGAGGGCTTGAATCCCAAACCAGCGCTCGGCAATCAGCTGCAAGACGCGTGCTTCTGGTTTCCCCTGAACTTCGTCTGCGATTGCGTTGTAAGTGGGATGTCTGGCAACTGCGTCATACAAGAACGGGGTAGAGTGACCGATGCCGCCGCAAAGCACCAGGACTGTGCGTCTCCCGTCTCTGGAGGCATGGGTCAGTCTCCTTTTCTTGTGGACGCCCAATCTCACTGAATAGGTATTCACACTCACAGATCAATCTTTTGGTCAAGTGCAGAGTTACCAGATGGTTCTCCTCCATTGAATGCAGAGAAAACAACATCGGCCAAGGCGAGCACGGACGAAGCACAGAAGACTATGGCGTCGGTAGGTGGCGCGGCTGGTGTCACATTCCGAGGCTGGGAGGTTGGCAGCGACTCGAAGAACCGATTGACCCCTGAGACTCCATCAATTCTTTCGTCTGATAAGAATCTAGACAGAACGTTGACTGCATCAGCTGCCTCTGCCATGCTTGCGTTGAATACTCGGGCACGTTGTGACGGGGAGCGGTGTGCCGAAGCGGGTTGTGTGCAGTGGAGGTAATACTTGCTGACTTATCCTGATCATCGAACATCACTGTGTTTTAGAGGCCGTGCGCAGACGCTAGGCTGCTTTCAGAATCTCGTTCTGCTGGCACTACGTTACCACCTACGGCGATCATAACTGAAGCAACCTCAAACTATTGATTTCTTGCATTTTCTTGGACGTTTCTTTCCGTAAGTAATATATGTACGAAAAATTCTTCGAAGGTGTTTATATAGTCCGCACCCAGCCTCTTCGATTACTTCTCAGCCAAAAGAAAGGAAAACGAAACGGGAAAGAAAACAGCCAGAAAGGCAGGCAGTATCTGTTGTCGTTATGAATATCAAGTTGAAGACTACGACCATCGCATAAGCAGATCAGGTCGGTTTTCGTATGTATTGTCGGGAGTTCAACCTGCGTCATCATGCTTACAACATCGGAAGTATTTTGCTAAATTAAATAAGGAGCTCTGAACAATCCCGCTCGAGACACCAGGAATTAGAAAAAAGCCCACATGCACAACACGGAAGATTTTCTAGGCCCTTTGGCGAGCATTTTGCATTCAACGCAATGGCCGATGAATTTGCATCCTTGAGTACAACTTTATGGAAGCAGGGTTGCGGAGTTTGTGAATTACTAATTGCAAGTCCGCAACCACAAAAAACTCCGCTTAGCTGGCTAAGTCGTGGTCTTCTTTCCTTTCCAAAGCGGGTCATTCGAGACTTGGCAAGCCTGTACGGGAATCAAGACACGCGCTTTTCAGATTTCCGCAATGAGCTAGACTAAGTAAGGCCATAAAACAGTTCCCGTAGTTTCCGCTTAAAATTCCGTCAACAGTCCGGTTACGAGTACGAAGTCAACAGACCGTACTACAAAACGGGAAGCAGTTGCTATAGTATCTTTGTCATCTGTTGTACATGTAATTTGACTTCTGTATTCAACATGTCTTCAGAAAACACCACTACAAATCGAGCTGTTGTTCTTCCCGGGGCGGGACAGGACGCAATTTTTGAAATACGCGAGAAGCCAGCTGCAAACGCAGGAGATGCAGTCATAAAAGTCATTGCTGTCTCCGTCAGAGCCAACTCTCCGAATGTGTATCGAAACCCGAGCAGCGGATATCCTTTGCCATTTCCCTTCACCCCTGGATTTGCGTCCATCGGCAGAATTATCGACATCGGGCCCGACGCAACAAGACTGAAACACGGGCAAGTGGTCTTCTTTGATCCATACATACAGGCCCGGGACCGTGGTGGAATATGGATCTCCGGAATGATGGAAGGGTTTGACGAGGGCAGTCGAAAGCTGTCCCGAGGAGAGTGGCGTAACTCTACGTATGCCGACTACGCGAAGGTTCCTCTGGAGAGTTGCCGCCCGTTAAACGAAGAGAGGCTTTTGGGCAGTATTGATCAAGATGGGCTTGGGTACACAATGGAAGACTTGACACATCTCTTCAGTATGCTCGTCCCATTCGGCGGTCTTGCGGACATCGATGTCAAATCTGGAGATACTGTCATTGTCGCCCCGGCGACAGGGAGGTATGGGAGTGCAGCTGTCCACCTCGCCCTCGCTGTGGGCGCACACGTCATTGCCATCGGGCGCAATGGGCCAGTTCTCGAGCAAATTGCGTCCATCAACGCTCGCGTCTCCACTGTCAAACTCACCAATGTCGTCGAGCAGGACACTCAGATGCTCCGTAAGGCTTGTCGGGGGTCAGCTGACGCCTTTTGGGACATGTCTCCATCTGGCGCAGCCACTTCTTCTCATTTTACCAGTTGCATGAACGTTCTCAGGCACGGCGCTAAAGTCAACTTGGAGGGCAGCGTTTTATCCGGTGTTAACTTTGGCTACATGGACATTCTAGGCCGTGGACTTACCATCAAGGGAACGTGGATGTGCACTCCGGAGCAGACCGAAAGGCTCATCAAAATGGTAGAAACCGGAGTTCTCCCCCTTGGGAGAAAGGCCGGCATGGGGCCAGTTCATAAGTTTCGGCTGGAGGATTGGGAACAAGCGTGGGATGCCGCAGAGGAGAAAAGAGAACCGGGCGAGATAGTCATCATGCCCTGAACGCCATGACTTCACTTACCTTGGTTTAGGGGCCACATCGCGAATAGTGCTCCAGAAAGTTTTCGCTCGGGCAGCGGTGCTTCCAGTCGTAATTGAGAATCCTTCAATTTTCGTATTCCAATTTTCATCATTGCCGTGTTAGGGGGAGCCATTTTTTTCAACCTCTTTGTCAGACACTGGCTCTAGGCGAAGATGGACTGATGCGATTGAACCCATTAGCTGGTATCATTCTTCTTTCCCATTCCAGTACCAAGATTGACGCGTTCGTCCCATTTTTTACCCCTTGAAAAGAAATTGATTGGCGCCGTCCCTCATCTTTCTGTTGCATCCAGCTGCTCGGTTGGATGCCGCACTAACCGGGTGGGTTGGATTAATTTCTCCGTGGGCTAGATCGGCCCACGAGAGTCTTCGTCCACCTCTACGAAGCGCTGTTTCAACCAGGGGTCAGTGTCAACTAAAATGAACCCATAATCTTCGAAGCATATATAAGCATCTCAAGCACTTGGCGATCTGCACTAGCTCCTTGGCCGACCTCACACACTCTTTCAACCACCAACTACAACCAACCACAGGGACAGGATCTCTCGTCGCTCGTTTTACTTTCAACTCAAAACTTTTTCAAGATGCGCAATTCCGTTCTTGCCGCTGCTGCCGCCCTGGCTCTGGGAGCCAAGGCCGACATCTACCCCAACTACGAGTATGGCAACATGTTCTATCTTGGCCCTACGACGGGCGGCCAATACATTACGAAGGCTACCTATTCCATGGAGGTTCCTACTCCTCCGAAGGACTGGGTCAAGAGCAATGAGAATGAGCGCTGGCTCTCACTGTGGATCGGTGTCCAGGACAACCCGAACAACGGCGATGTTCTGAAGATGAACTTCGTCCAACCCTTGCTCAACTGGGGTCCTGACAACACCGCATGGGGCTGCAGCGCTCCTAACACCCAATGGTGTGTCGCTGCCAGCACTTACACTCCCGACGGGCAAATCGGCCAGCCGTACGTTGAGGTTGACGAAAACGCAACCTTGGACTTTGAGAGTCAGTTGCATCTGTATTCATTCGATATACACAGAACGCACCGGCTAACTCGATTGTAGTATCTCTTAACTCCTCTACCGACATGATCGACCAGAAGGTCTGGTCCAAGGGAAAGCTACTCTCTTCGGAGTCCGATTGTAAGTTGATATTCGAAGCCGAATAGATACGAGAAATCATCCTAACCTCGTTTCATAGCCAAGGGCATGAGGCCTGCCGTGTTCTACTCCGGCAACGAGTGCTACGGCGATGGCTGCGGTACCCTTGATGCGTACGCATACAACAACATCACCTTGGTCTTCAACAAGGCCGTTCAGAACATTGGTGACATCGTGTCGTACACCAACGCAACTCACACTGAATGGCAGACTAAGGATAACGGAATCACCTGGACAATTGACTCAATCACCATTGAGAAGGACAACCTCACAGAGTAAACGTGACGTTATTTTTGGACCCGAAAACTCTCTGTACATGGTTGTCTACTTCATTGTAAATATCTATTCCCACTCACAAGAGCACGGTACTCGGTGGAAGTGTACAAAAGAATGGCTGTACCTTTATGGCGCGCGTTGAAAGTCTCATTCGCGTGATTGCTTCGCAGCTAGACTTGATGCACCGACAACTAGAACAGGTGTTCTTCGGGTGAATTTGGGTAACTCGAGGAAGAGTATTGAGCATTTTGAAGCCTCACCTTTCGTTGAACTTTATCCGAGAGAAGAGTACTCAATAAGGCACTCATCCAAATTCTCCAACGTCCGTGCGGTGCGGGAAGTGGGATGCTCGCCCTTTCGGGCCTCAAGGTGGGCTTTTGCGACCAAGACTAATCAAGTAGTGCCCGACACCCGAAAGTCTACTCTTGAGATTGCGCACTAGTGTGATTTTGCCTTGTTAATGATTGAGAGAATCATGTGGGTGCCTTCCGGCGAGTAGCTTCACCATATCCGTTGGTTTTTGCCGGTTGAAACGTACTCGACGGGCCGGACACTCGAGGACAAAAGTTGCACCGAAATCTTAGCCTGTGTGCTAACATCTACTAGTCGGCGGAGCATAGAAAGACATAGTTATCTCCGGGGCTAGGCACATCGCTGGAGTTTTCGCATGCCCCATGTGGCCTGCCCAGCTGCGTGGGCCGCTCGGATGCAAAATCCGAGAAATGGAAGTGAGGAGTGGCAAGCTTCCTGTTTAGGAAAGTCGCACCTCCGACGTTCCGGTGTTAGTCTTACTGATGGAGGCCAAAGAAAACACACCGTCATTGAGGGGGCAAGCTGAGATGCTGCAGACTTGAGACAAAACAAAACAAGAGCTGTGTTGTATTACGGCTTTCTGCATTCGAGGACCTAAGTCCGAATACCTCACATCGTAGGTGGCTGGCAACGTTACCAAAATCGTGCTGTCGGTCGAAAATATTACTAGGAATTCACAAGCAGGATGGCTAGCGCTGTGGAAACTTGCATGTCATTGAGGCCATTCTTGCACAGGATCTTTCAGTCTAACCAAAGCGCGTATCTACGGCTTTGCTGGACGTACCTACGGGTGATCGGACTGGATCTCGAATTGCATTGATGCCACTTTCAGACTTGCCGAAGCAGCCAGGTGTTCGGAGTTAACAATTTTCGATCCCCATGAGCCTGCCTGAACCCGAAGCCCACCAATGGAACTTCACATTTATTTAAACGATGGTTCGCTTTTCTCTATTATCTTCACTCGCAGTAATAATCTAAGTCTTCTGCCCATTCATCAGTTGAGCAAGTTCGTTGTAGACGCACAAACTAAAGTAGCCTAACCGCAATGGCTCCTAGAATCGCCAAATACGCCAATGATCAGCCATCCGGCTTCATCAACCGCATTGAGAAGGTCGCCATTGTTGGCGTAAGTTCTGCTTCATAGAATTTATCACTTCATCACAGTCGGACTAATCGCTACGCAGGCTACCGGTACCATGGGCAAATTCTTTACCGAGGAGCTGCTCAAAGGCGGAAAGCACACAATAACCGCCATCACCCGTTACAACAGCGATTCGAAACTCCCCGAGGGTGTCATCGCAGCCAAGGTGAACTACGATGACGAGGACTCTATCGTCGAAGCACTCAAGGGACAACAATACCTCATCATTACCATGAACGTCAGCGCTCCTCAGGACACTCAGGGCAAACTCGTCAGAGCCGCAGCTAAAGCCGGTGTTCCATACGTAATGCCAAATGCTTGGTGCCCAGATCCGCAGAACACTTCTTTCATGAAAGACAGTCTCCTAGGTCACGCGTTCGAGGGGGCGGTGAAAGACATTGAAGAGCTTGGCGTCAGTGATTGGATCATCATGTCCCCAGGCTTCTGGTACGAGTACAGCTTGGGTCTTTCATCTGACCAGTACGGCTTTGACATGAAGAACAAGTCTCTGATTCTCTTTGACGATGGCAATATCAAGATCAACACCTCAACATGGTCCCAGTGCGGCCGCGGCCTTGCAGCCTTTCTCAGTCTCAAGTTGTTGCCTGAGAACGAAGACGACAAGTCTCCCTGTATCCAACAGCGTGCTAACGAGGTGTTCTACATCTCCAGCTTTTTGGTGTCCCAGCGAGATATGTTCGAGAGCGTCAAGCGTGTCACGGGAACATCGGATAGTGACTGGACTATCACACATGAGAACACGCAGGAGCGGTGGAAGGCTGGCCATGAGGCGCTGAAGAGTGGGGATAGGACTGGCTTTTCAAGGTTGATGTACACCCGCATCTTCTTTCCCTCGAATGATGGCGATGTCGAGCACAAGTATGGCTTGGCCAACGATATGCTTGGGTTGCCTGACGAGGATCTTGACAAGGCCACTAAAGAAGGTGTCAGACTGGGTCTCTCCAAGAAGTATGCAAACTATGGAAAGCCCAGATGAAACGTTGAATTGGCGTCGTTCAAATTCATACTTCTTTTATTGTTACAATTCAGTTCATTAAACACTTACAACCCGTTGGAATTCTCTACATCAAGGCAACACATACAATACATTCAACCCGTGGGTTTCTAGACGTGCAGGCTTTCGGAAAAAAAGCTTCGGCCTCGAGAAAACAAACATTTGATTTTCTGTTGCCACGGGTCCTACTTTTAGGCTCGCGGGTCGGTCTAGACGTGCAGCTTTGTTATTGACCTGAAATTGCACAGAGAACGGGCCTTCTTGACCGCAACCCGCGGACGTCACTATTGTCGGATCCCACTGCGGCATCCCACCGGCGTTCGGACAACGCTGAATAATGCTTACCAGCAGGTGATATTTAACTCGCGGCAAACATCGATGTTCCCTAATCTCCTATCAACCACACCTACTTTACCCCCCTTACTTTCTCAGAACCTGCCAATTAAATACTGCCCATCTTTTCCGCACTTTCCGACGCCATGGAGAAGGAAAAGACGCACGAGGTTGTCCGAGTCATCGAGGCTCCTGTCTCGGAAGTGTGGGCAATCATCTCCGCGTTCGGATCGGAGAGACTCTGGTTCCCCGGCGTAGTCAAGTCAAGCCTGGACGGGTTCGGTATCGGAGCCGTCCGTACTCTTACATTCGATAACGGCACCGTCGTCCATGAGCGTCTGGAGGTGGCGGACCCCGAAACACATACCATTCGCTATCTCATCCTAGACGGCGTCCCGAACACAACGAACCCCAGAGGAACGCTACGACTTACTGGAATTGAAGGGGACAAGACGGAATTCAGTTGGACCGGGGCTTCAGACTGGACGGACCCGAGCTTTAAGCCCGTCTTGGCGGGCATTTTGGACGAGATGTTCAAGGGATGCATGGATGCTGTTGCGCAGAAGTTGAAGTAATTCAGAAGTAAGGAGGTTAAGAATTTTGCAGTGAATGAGGATTTACATGAATAATCTATGTACAAGTGCCGAAGCAAAAGGAATTACTTCTGATTTAAAAAGAAAAAGACACCCTTTACCATCTGAAGGCAACACCATCATGATGATCGACAAGGTATTGAATGGAGCCATGTACCATTGGACAGACTCACAGCGTGGCCAACCGCGCAATTGACAGGTCACGTCACATTACATTAGCGGTTTCGGGGGTCAGGCTTATTTCTATCAAACCGTTTAGTCTTGGCGATCGTGGTCGTGCTTCTTGCCCTTCTTGCACGGACGCTCAGGAACTTGATCGGCGTCTTCAGCTTCTAATCCATGTTTAGCGACTGAGATGTCTCACTTGGCATTGCTTAGTCCTTTAGAGCAACAGACGGCGAATCGAGCATCATGCCTCCAAGCCTTTGGTTGGCTGGATTCCGTCGTTTCAAAGTTTGCACAAAAACAACAAAAGTTCAATTACAAAAGATATCTAGTAAATCTAGTTCGTACCTTGATCGCCAACAATCTTTTGCAGGCTAACCATGGCGTTCTCCAACAGGTTCATCTGGCCAGGGGTGTTCTGAGTGTAGCGAGAGTTGAACTTCATGATGCCCTTGGCCTTCTTGTAGGTAGTGATATCAATGTTGAGGGGGGTTCCAACAACATTCCAGGCGATAGACTCAGTGCAAGGAGGGGTGGTGAGGGATCCGGAGTACCTTTACGAGGTTAGCATGTGATTCGATGTCAGAGGATTGGTGTGTGAGGCCTGGACGTACTGGTAGATGGTGCTCTTGGCAAGATGGCTGGACAGAGAAGTGAAGTCCAAAGGATCGGTAGCAGCGTGAGCTCCAACGGCGGTTACCTTGTCGACGTTCTTGAAGATGGAAGCAAGGATGGGGTCGGTGGTCTCGGCGACCTCGATCAGGAAGCCAACAACGGCAAGAGATGAAGTGCCTAATTCTGATCAGCAACCGAAACAAGCCACTTTCCCATGTTTTCCAAACTTACCGTTACCGGCCTCAGATTCCCAGACAAAGTGAACCTCGAGAGGGTAGTGCTCGCCGTTGAGGCGGTGCTCGCTCGGGGTGTGGAAGTGGAACTGGCGGAGAGTGTAGTTCTTGCCGCCGTTGTACATGGTTCCGTTCGCGCGGACCTCGAGGACGCCGTTCAGGTTCTCCAGCTCAGCTCCCTCAGCGTAGTTTGCGGGCCTAAAGATGATGGAGGAACCCTGAACCTGCTTGGTATTCGTCTCGAGAACGTTGATGGGGGACTGGTTCTTGCCGAGGGCGCAGGCAGCGTTGTCGGCGGTGAGGGAGTGCCAGTTGAGAGGACCGTTCATGGCATCGAAACCGTAGGTGCCCTCGGCTCTCTTGAAGAGACTGGTGCCATGATGGCAGAAGGCCGAGACGGCGGGGATGAGAGAGAGAATAGCGGTGGCCTTCATTGCGACGAAAACAGAGAAAGATCGTGAGGTGCAAGTGGGAAAAAGAGTGACTGGGCTCGATGAGTTGAGTTGTGGGTGGCTCAATGAAACAACAGATCGAAGGAGCGGAAAGATCTAGAGGTAAATATACACCGGCACTGCAGAGTAGCAGTCGATCGTGGGGTCCGGAAAGCTATGACTTGACGACGCGATATTAATTTCGTGGAGTCATGATGAGGACTATCTTGGTAAAAGGCAACGTCTTGGCAGGTTTGCCTGGTCAAAACACCAAAACACCAAGCCCCCTTTGGACCTTCCTGCAAGCACTCTGCCGGTCCGCGGCTCGAGCACGAGAGTGATGACCTCTCCGCGGCCACGTGCTTGGCAATGATCAATCGCGGACGGGACCAGGGGCGCGGTGGGCAGGGGGGAGAGTCAGTACTTGGGAAACACATCACGAGAACGAAGCGCGGTGCTGGCAACAGAAGAAGCAATCACCCCTGAAAGGAAGCGCCTGTGGAAGGGCCGCCGAAGGGCTTCCCAAATCAGGTTGTCATCAAAAAGTCAAATTGGCGAGCGCTTGGCGGGAGTGCGTCGCTATGCCAGTGGAGGCAGGTTTTTACATTGACAGCGTTCCCGTGGTGTGAAGAGGGGACCGCTTCCACTTTCCGGGAGGCTGTCTGTCTGTCTATCAGCAAAAGGCCAAGACTCTCTGATCGGCCGATATCCATGGACGAACATGAGCAGCAATTCATTCGTCCAGTGACGGCCATTGACCCAGTTTGTCGGCGCCGACACCGCGGGTCAGCACGCGGCTGACTCGTGGCTCTGGGAGGCACATTCATCAATCTCTGTCAACGCTGTCAAGAATAGCCGCTTGTCTGGGATGAAGCCAGGCGATTGTCCCTGGCTAAAACCGTCCGTCCGAACTCAGCACGGCGGACATGCGAACAGAGCACGCCCTAGGTGCGTAGGGCGATGCCTAAAGGCTGTGGGAAAGGCAAGTTCCAAGACCAAGGGGTTATGAGTGTTGAGACGGCCAGGGATGAACTGTATTACTGGAGAAGAGGGCAGACGAAATTTGCACGGTCATTGCTTACGCTGTACCATACGGATAGCTACGCGACGACGGTGAAGCCAAGAACAAGGGGCAGGGCTCCGGGGTCTCCAGACGGGGAGACGCGGTTGTCTAACCACGTCTGGTATTGGTCGAGAGAGATGAATTGTGTGAGAGACAGGCGGACAGAGGAGAGGAGAGCAGAGGGAGAGAGGGCGGGGGAAAGGCCCCGCGTAAGGTGAGGCCTCGTCTCGACCGACTCTCGAGACGGGCAGTACGAATAAAGCAGCAGATAAACTGAAGCCTCCGTGGTTGATGCTGGTCGAGATAAAGTTTAGGGCCCAGAATGGCTATGCCGCCAGCGCGCGGTGAGGCGTCTGATTGGAGCCTACGGGGTCTACCGGTGGCCCTAAGGAGGATCGAAGAGGGCCTACAGAGGGTCAAGAGATGAGCAGGTTCAGAGGCCAAGCCCTTGGTACCCAGGTAAGGTAAGCATCCAGGGGTCGCTCGTCAGTGCACTATTTTGGCACACAGCCACGTTGGCCTGCGACTCTACCTTAGGGTACGGATCCATACGCTAAGCTCCCTAAGAGCAAGACACACTCAAGGCCTAACCACTGCACTGGACCGCTGTAACCCGGAAGAGTCTAGACGAATGGATGCTGATGCTAGAGGCGTGGTTACCTACCTAGGTCATGTAGGTAAGTAAGGTAAGGTGGGTATGGCAAGGCAAGGGACACTCGGGCTACTCCGTGACCATCTTACAGTGGCCAAGTGAGCGCTAATTAGCCCGGCCCAGGGCAGGCAGTCAGTCACCGTTCGTCCGCAGGTATTACCTTGGGTGAAGGTAAACATGAGGCATGAGGCATGAGGCATGAGCAGTCAGTCCGATCCGGTCCCTCACTCACATGCTGAGGTGCTCATCTCATGTTCCATTTGCCAAGACTGCTCACCGGAGGAGACCAACTCGTCAAAGAGAATATGGGTAGTGTAGCCGTACAATCCAATCCAATCCAGTGCCACACGTCGCTGTCTTGGCAAGAGTTCAACATCGTCTTCTTGGCAAACATGGCTTGGCAGATATAGGTGCGGCGTTTCCTCCAAATTTCCAAGAAACGTCCAAGACTCTGGCCCAACTTCCAAGACTCTCGTCCAAGACTTCCAGGGCTGTTCATCGTGGGGGGAGTGCGACCGACCTGCTGGTTCCAGTCTGGCGCCGCCGTTGTTCCGCCTAGTGGCTTGGACCTTCTGCGGCCGTAGACTCTAACAGTTCTTACTAGAACTACTATGCAGTAGGTAGGCTGCTAGGTCTAGACCTCCCGACACCATGGAACCGGCACATCACTCGCCCGTCATCTGTCGCGTCCCATCTGCTCCGCTGCCGACGGTCGGACTCTAGATTTGAGCCGTCACACTGGTCTGTATCACCTACATCGTCATTGGATGCAGCTGCATAGTGGCAGACTGCAGAGTAATAGGTAAGTGAGGTGGTTAGTCAGTCATTCCCGCCGTAGGGGCCTGCCGCCGCGTTAACGTTTTCTCTTGGCGCCTCTAAATTCAGCACTCGCGCTCCCTTTTCCGCCCACTTGATTGGGTGGCGTCTCCTTGATGCCGTGGAACCCTTGAGAACAATTCCATTTCCCGATTCATCTTTCTCCCCTTCTTACTCGGCGGACTTTCGCTTTGGCCGTTGCCTTCCCTTCCACCCACCCACCCCTCGCGGTGACAGTGACAGTGACAATTCCAGTCCTCAATCCATGTCGCTGTCTCTGTCCGGCCTCGCCCAGGCGTTGCCGACAGCTTCTTCCTGCACCTCATCTGCGAAGCCGCGCCCCCGACCTACCAACACCGCGTCTCCCGCGGACTCCATCTGGAAACATTTGCCAGAGGCCGATTTCCGCCAACATGTCGTTGGACTCGAGAAACTGACCAACTCGGTCCCTGTGGATGCGCAAACTTTTCCCCTGCCTCCGCAATCTGATCTAGCGGCAGACCACGCGAACTCTGACGGAGATGCAGCTGCGGGTGCGGATGCGGATGCGGATACAGGCGCCGCAGGGGCGGACGTCGTCAGCCGAAACCCCGACAGCATCTTCAGACAACCTCATCCCCGCCAGCTGTCACTCGCTGCGGAACAGCGTCTAGCTGATGACATCGCCTACCTCATCGCCGTCGGCGAAGGGGCGCAGTCTGTCGCTGCAACCACTGTGCAGGAAAGTCGACGTCCTCAAGGAAAGGGACTCCGGGTCACCATCGCCTCGGTTGACGCGATCGAGCCCGACTCACAGGCATTCCTCCGCGCTATTTTCCAGAGGCTGTCTACAGTATCTGCCGAGCCGTCTGCCAAGACATTACATAGTCTCGTGGACCAAGTAACTCGGCATCATCACACTCGCCTGCTCAACCGTCTGCGCTCATGCAAGTGGAAGAAGCCAACCTACCTTTCCCGCACCCACAAGAAGGCCCTGCATGCCGACTTCGCCAATCTGGTCCATCGCG